CTTCCTCGAGGGTGTCGTCGCTTTATACGCTTCATTTCTCGAAAGCGTAAAAACAGTCACGAGGATGAGCCACCCGGGCGGCGCCACCCTCGCAACTGTTTAAGATCTGTTTAAGCTTCGCTATGAAAAGTGCAAACAGTCACAAGGACGAGGCACGTGAGGTGCGCAGTCTTTGTGACTGTCGTCACTTGTTCAGCTTGCTTGGTAGGTTGCAAAAAATAAATGGAGTAAGTACTTTGAAAAATTTTCCTGTTTACAACCCCACTCAAAGCCGACTGGCTATGTCCCTGATCCTCAAGGTATTTTGTTGCATACAGCTCCATCGTATGCGTACCCAAAGCCCCAAAACCGCAAACCCTGACGTAGAGCCCGGCCCTAAACCCCAACCCAAACCCATCGCAGGGGTGCAGGGTAGTAGCCCGGGGTAATGACCATGAATTGACTTGGTCACAAGAAGAAAATGCTGTGTAGCCCACTTGGTACGACCACAGAAAAGGAAAGCGTACGTTGGCAAGCCGTGTGGGGGTCAAGAAATATAGGAGGCTCATGCATGATGATCATGAATCATCGAGTCGCTGGGCAGTGTCCGCGGGATTGGCGGAACGCGGCTGGTTGTTCACACGCGTGGTGGAGCCTGGGCGGTAGAGTAGTGCCACTGGTGTTCATGCAGAAGCTCGGCAGGTTTTGGTGGTGTAGGCGGAGCGGCATCACCATCGGACACTTCATCGGCCCAGCGGGTTGTGCGGAAGTTGTGGGTGACCGGGCAGTCAGAGCCAGGCAGGACTGGACAGGCAGGGAGCCCAGTGCGCGGGCAGCATCTTCCATGCTGTGTTCATCACCGTGATTGTCTGCATGTTTGAGCCGTGAACAGCAAAATAAAGGGCAAAGCACTTCTTTTGAGGCCATGACCGAAAACGTACCAGAACGCTGGACTCCCCCAAATGCAGCTTGATTCGTCCCACCGCGGACGTTTTCAGACATTTTCAGACGTGCGTGCTTTCGAACGCTTTCGGACGCTTGCGAGCCAGCCCTTGGAACCCACTTGTTAAGATGGGAACCCTTCTGGCGTACATTCGGGAACAACAACAGTGCTCTATACAAAATAGAGGTCCAATCGCCGTAGCGAAAAATGGGGGCCGGGTGTGGGTGGAGAGTGCAAATTTAATCTCGTAAAATGAGGTTGGTAAACCCATTGTGTTTGAGGTTCCAATGGTGAGATTCACTCTTCCATTTCACAATGCGACAGTCCCTTCCTATCCGTAACAAATGCCAGGGTAACATTCTCAGTGATGTGCATGAATGTCATGTGCCCGGATGTGCAAGATGACCGTGCAATTGCGAAATTTTGTTGCATCAAGCGATGCACAGAAACGGCTCCTTCCGGGGCGTACGGCTGAAGGATGTGACCAGCGTTAGCGTTTGTGTGTTGAACGGTGGGCAGGTTTGTTGTTGTCAACTTACGTTGCATTTTGGCTCTGAGGCTTTTTGTTGGTTTGTGGTCAGTGCGCTTTTGCAAGCTTGAAGCGATGGGGGCCGTGGTTTCCCGTTGCTCCGTCATGTTTGATCACATGTACGTGGACACGATGTGAGGCATCGAGGCGGTGTTTAACGTGCGAGCTAAAGGCATTTTAGGCAACATGCGTTGGCAAGCAGCCAGGCATTTGCAACCCGGCTGGTGATGCGCCAGCACCAGTAGCCAGCAAAGTCTCGTGCTCCGTCGCAGGCACACGACTTGTCATGTCGTATATCTTTGCGATGTGTTTCTCCTCAGTTGTTGGGATGGTTGGCAATTGGTGGTCATGGGTTGCAGCGCAGGGTGCCCGAAATGAACAAAGCCGTTACAGGTGTTAAGTGAATGTTGTCCGTGGTTATCGGTTTACTATTGCTTGTTGAGGCTACGATTTCGAGCCGGTCAAGCCCCATCAGCAGGAAACATCAGAGGACTGTATCGTGGGCATGTGGAAAGCTTTCATGCTGCATGGAAGGGGTGGGCCTTAGAAAACAATCTTCGGAACCTCAAGCTTACAAACCCTGCGTACCCGCTGTTTCGCCAGTCCCTATGACTGCATGAAAGACCCCCGAAGCCCCATTGTTGCCAACGGGACATCTTATGTATTGTTGCATTGTCAGAGCATGTGGATGTGGAAGAGTGTTTAGGCAACTTTGCGATTTTGATACATTGCCTGACGAAGAAGCAATCAGAGCTTCTACTTGTCCAATAGACGAGGAATCGCCGACTGGAAGCACCACAGCAGACACCGAGTCAGTTGTGGAGGCCGGTTTGTGTTTGGATGATGGTTTGTGTTTTTCAATGTGCTGCTGAACCACCTGGTGCATGCAGGACAAGCATGCGAGCATCGCTGCTGACCTGAAGGACAAAGACACAAGTCAAGTTGTCTTCTGCAAAAATTGACTCTAGCAGTGGAGTGCGGTGCCATGCGGTACTCAGTGAGGAGCCGGCCGAGATTCGGGAACCGAAGCCTGCACCAACTACGCCGATCACCTTAGAAACGCTTCAGGCCGATCGGGCCCATGAGGGCATTTCCTGCAGTGGTAGTAGCCTGGTGGCACATGGTGGGGTGGTTCTTTGTGGCTCTCCTTGTGATTGTCACCTGAACTTCTAGTTCTAGTCCATGCAGGGCGACTGGGTGAACAGCATGGGCGCGAAGATTAACGTGAATGGCACGGAGGTCAGCTTTGGGGATGTGTGTGCATGGTTGAAACGAGAAACTTCATATGTTGACGCAAATGGGTTTGTTGTAGTATCGTGGGCTTGAAGCTTGTCAAACACTCCGGGGAATAGCTTGTGGGCCCAAAGGTTTCAGGTTTGGGCTGCTTCTTGTCTCAAGGGAGTGCCGTGGCGGAAGCTGCCGACTTTCAGCATCTCTGAAACCTGTGTCTTGGAGCTTCTCGTCGGCAAGGTTACTTTGAATGGCCTACTCATGAAGGCCCACCCAGTAATGCTGAACGAGGATGGTACCGTCTGCGGCTCATGAACCAAAGAACTGAGAGATGACCTGAGTTTTGTGCTTTGTCGTTGCAAAGAGCCATGGCATCCAGACACATGCCAGGAAAGGGGGCACGTTGGCAGCACATGGCATGAAGTTCTGCATTCTCCGATGCAAGCTGTAAGGTCAGCAGCGTGGGCCGCATTTGGCAGCTCAATGGCTGGTTTGGGCCCCAACTGCCGATTTGTGAGACTTTGTCTCTGAGGGTTCTTTCAAGGAAACACAGCTCCGATAACAGCGACACTGGCACGTCTGCACATGTTTGCCACCATAATGCGCAACAGAGCGCAGCCACGTGTGCAAGCCCATGTGCGCATGTGTTGATCTGAGTGTATCGCTGGCATGAAGCATCAAGTGACCAGTGCAGCTTGTTCATTCGAAGGGCATCCGTTGATCAGCGCATCCGTTTCCGATCCATGTTTAGATTGATGCTGCAGGAGCTGCTCCTGCAGCACGTGGGCATGTGTCAATTTGGTCACTCACCATGCACGTAGCATCCTCATGTCGAGATGGTAGATGCATCCATACCGTAAGTGCATCCACCGACCCTATTAACAAGCGCATCTAACATCCATTCCGCAAGTGCATCCAGCGAGCAGCGCAGCCGTCAACAAGCTACGTTGTCAAAGAAACAGGTTTCGGTTACAAGCTCTGAACATCCATGTGCATGTCCGACGCTTGCCTTTCGCACTTCTGATGCGCGCGCGCACCGGATTTCAGACCCAATGCAGCGGGCGCCCTTCCCCCCCGTCGGTATGCTACCAACGCTTGGCACTTTTCGTACGTGTCTACACATGTCCTTGCAGCCACGGCCTTTAGCTTCACCTCCCTCAGCCTGAAGCACGCCACCTAACAAGCGACCTCACATCCTCGTACAGGCTGGAAGATGAGAAAGTAGAGTTCAAAGAAGCTCCGAGCAAGGAGATGAGGGCATCGGTTGAGTTGGGCCGCATAGCCAGTGATTGCTTGACAAGGAGATGATGGCATTGGTTGTTCTTGACGGTTATCCCTAATTAGGTGTTCAGAAGCTCATGCCTGGCTGAGCGAAAGTGGCAGGGAGTAGGGCTGAATTCCCGATAGAGCGCATGGCAGGGCACAACAAGCAAGAATTTCGCACCCTTTCCTGATGGGGGGGGTGGGCTTAAGCGGTCACAGGCAGAGAGGGAAGAAAAGGGGCAACACTTTTCTAGGGCCCAACCTTGCCAGAGAGCGCTTGGCCCGGAGAGCCCAGAGAGCTTGGCGACCAGGGCACGTTATGTATTCATTCGTATATATATATGTACATATGTATATATATATACACATGCGCACGTATGTGTTTCCGTTTATTCCCCACCCTCGGTGTGGGGTTGTTAGATTTCAAACTCAACTCTGCTCCTCGCCCGGAACTCTTCTCCTCGTCCGGAACTCTTCTCCTCGCCCGGTCTACTCCTTGGTCATCCCTGGAGCGCCCAGCCCCAAAGCCCTGTCTCCATAAAGTGCCCAACCCCCAGAGTCTCCCTAGAGTGCCCAACCCAAAGTGTCCCCGGAGTGCCCACCCCAAAGTCTGCCTCCAGAGTAGGGAGAGTGCCCAACCCAGAGTCCCTGGTGTGCTCAACCCAGAGTCTCCCTGGAGTGCGCAACCCAGAGTCCCGAGTCCCCAAAGTTTCCTGGAGTGCCCAACCCCAGAATCTCCGTAGAGTGCCCAACCCAGAGTCTCCTGGTGTGCTCAGTCCAGAGTCTCCTGGAGTGCGCCACCCCAGAGTTTTTCTGGAGTGCCCAACCGCAGAGTCTCCCCGAGTGCCCAGCCCAGGAGTGTCCCTGGAGTGCCCAACCCCAGAGTATCTCTACCAAGATAGGGTGGGGATGTTCGAAGTAGAATAATCTATTTATAACTGTTTTTAGGCGTTTCATTTTTCATTTTTTGCTGTGGCTGTGTTGGGACATATCATGCCTTGCCTGAACGATGGTGCTTTACGGCCTCCATATACACATCGGTTCCTGGAGGAAGTCATGCAGTACGCCCGCTCCGTTGTTTGGAGCAAGGCACTTGTCCAAGCTGTTTCGGGTAGTGGCTATGTAGTGGTTCTGCGATGTTCCGTGGCAGGTGTCCTCTGAGCGTATGGAGGCATGGACGGAGCAGATGAAGGCCATGGGCTATGCAGGCCTGCAGTGTTCTTGGTTTGTAGCAGACCGATTTTTAGCACATGGCATATCTTTGCACAAGGTATTGAAACCATACCATGCTCCTGCATATAGCGGTTCAGCCAACAGGGTCATATGACTGTTGCAAGTGCTGGCGCGTGCTGCCAGGATCTTCGAACAATCCTCTTGCCCGTGGTATCGAGGCCAGGCTGGATAAACTGGTGCAAGAATCAGCTCTGAATGGAGAGTTGCTTGGAGAGAAGGGGAATATCAACCTAAGGCAGCCTGGCACAACAGTTGTGGAACATAGTCGAGCAGAAACAACCACTCCACATGTACAGCATATTGCTCACAGCAAGTGAGTGTTACCGGTTCACCCAAAGAGTGTATGTTTGTTTTGCCGCGGTGCGGAAGCCAGTTGGCCGCGCATGCCTAACCTATCCACCCATCATTTGCAGTCTGCTCTCGCAAATGCAGACGTTTCGCAATCTGCCCAGGGTTGCTGCCCCGGCACTTCTGATGCTCACGCCAAGCTGGCCCGCGCCCTGATTCGACACCACGTGGCAACAATTTGTACAAGAGGTGGACGCTGTGAATATGCTCCTGCTGAAGAGGTTGAGGATGACGCAGACAAAGACAAGGTTCGGTAGACCTGCAGAAGTGTCCAGTGATATTTCTGACGTCCTGCGACTCCAAAAGTAGTGTGTCTAGTGTGTGTGTGTGTGTGTGTGTGCCAGGCAGAACTGAAGCTGCTCAATGACCTGATCTCCAAGTGGAGAGTGCCAGGAGTGATCAAGGCTGGTCGCGTCAGAATGGCTGTACTCAGTCGCACCTGCGGACATCTGTGCACCGTCTTGCAGCAGGTGCCCCCTAGGAAGGTGATTCCAGACTTCAGCAACCGAGGCAGTTTGCGTACGTAGGCTTCAGTCGACGTTGGTTTATTTCCCGGGCGTATGTCAGACGTGGAGTGAGCTCCTTCCGCTCTCCGAAGGTCACACTGGCCTCAGTGTGGAGCACGTCCATTATCTTGCAACCAGCTTCAAAGAGAAGGGCAGCCTCCTCAGCTGACAGAATCACATAGACTCAACAGGCCAAGATCCAGGCTTGCAAGGTGTGGTATGACTTCATCTTCCATTCGAAGTGGTTAGTGCAATCGAGTTCATGTCTTTACCCCTTGTTCCCCCGTGTTCCCCTTTTTGTTTTTCTGCAGGCACATGGCATGCTCTTGATGGCTCATAGTCCTTCTCAGCCAAGCCTAAAAAAGCCCTCAGCCTCAAGTTGAAGCCGCATGCGACACCAAAGGCTTTCAGAAGCGCAAAGGCAACGAGGGTCATGACATCCCGGTCCTGGTGCCCGGACCCTTAGCATGTCCGTGAAGCATGCGTAGCACTTTGACATGCGGCACGAATCCAAACAAGCACTTTTGCCGGTCAGGTGTGAAAAAACCAGCAGTGAACTTGGAAAGAAGTCCATTGAGCCGGGGTCCTTGGTCCGGCACCAGTGCAGCACACAAGCCCTTTCTCAAACATAGTGCAGCGCAGTGCAGCACAGATGAAAGACGCCTCCTGACGTGATATATGGCAACATACAGGAGAGTGAGACATTCTCCACTGCCGACTTCTCCCTTCAGTGACTCACAAGCCACAAGCTCATCTCATTCCTTTTGTTCTCATGGACTCATTTTTGAAGTCTCTCGAATAAAGCAGTGCAAAAGCTCACGCGGTTCCACGTGGACGAAAGCTGGATGCGAGCTCGACCTAGTCACCATCATCCTTGTTTTTAGCCATGGACCGCTTAGCAGCAGACACTCCCCAGACCAAAGCCCGGCACGAGTGGGCCCGGTATGCTTCCGCAATTCGGCAGCAGCGCTTCCACGGAACCGGAACCTCGACGAGTTCAACTGCGAGGATGTCCATGGTCTCCCAGCACTGCTTCCAGGCTGCTCTTGGACCGGTCGGAAGAGTCGGACAAGAAGGTGATGGAACGAGGGGAGATTAGGAAGGACCGTGAGGCCTGCAAGTCGGAATGCTTGTAGACAGGTCAGGGAGCCGCAAAGGCTAATGGCCACAAGAACCCAAAGAGTTCATGCTCGTGCGAGATCGCAGAGATCGCGCAGCTGTTTTCTTACGAGCTCCAATGAGCTGGACAAGTGAAAGGCCTTGTTCCTTGCTACACCCGGCGAGGACGAAAGAACTGTGGTTGTTGCTGTTTTGTTTCTCCATGTAGCTTGTTTAGTCAAGGGGATGGATGGGGAATTCTGAAAGGGAATTGCTTGGAAATCGTTCGTTGACTGAGACCTCGCGTGCAGAGCGGACTGGCAAAGCATGCTCAGGAACTGGAGGTCAAAACTCAATGATGAGAAGGGGTTCGCTCCACAGGCCTCATTACATGTGAAAGCTCACCTGCACATGACATCTTGTTTGCTTGATGCGTGTCAGGAGCACTATGAGCGGCTTTTCAAGGGAGAGGCGTGGAATGTTGTTGCCACTTTTGTCGCTGCCGCTAACTAAGCCCTGCCAGGAGCTGTACACTTCATTGGGCAATGGGCACTTCAATCAGGCAGTGGATGAACAGCATGGTCATGTAAGACATCCGTGCCTGCTCTATCCGAGACCCGCCTGCACACAGCATGATCACATGCGGGTAGGGTGTTGCCATTGCAGGCTCTCAACCTTTTCTTCCGGGAGTGCCCCAGCAGAAGTCTCAGGAAAGAGAAGCGACCACTTCGGTGTTGTGTTTTCAGCATTTTCAGATCATAATCCAAGTGAAGCTGTTGAACCGTTGGCTCAGGCATCTACAACCAAGAGAAGTATGTTATTGGCCAGGACTCTCCAACGAAAACCTGCCCCGCTCCTGTCGCACGTGTTGGCAGAAGTAAGGAGCAGTGCTGCGGTTGTAGTGGGAGCTGGCAAGCAACTACCAGGACCGTGATCTCAAGGAGGCTGTTTACCAGGGTGTTGGTGCGGGGCCCTGTTGCTGCTGCTGAGCCGTGGACCGATGTCGAAACTTATCACTAGTCTCTGGAGACCACACTGGACATGTAAATGCATCATAACAACCCTTGCCATGACAACCTCCAGGAGGAACATGCATTGCTGCATAAGCAAGAGCTTCATTTGGACCTTATGTGCCGGGAGCTGCCCGCATGTCGAGGTGCTATCGTGCTTAAGGCTGAGATCCCGTTGAGAGATCGTGCTGCACTCAGCCCTAAAATCCAAATCCAAGCTGAAGATTCCTCCGGATTTTGAGATGCATCTTAGTGGCTTCAGCTGTCAAGGATATCAGCCGGCCATCTGACTAGTCTTGTCAGCCATTGCTGTGCAGTCTTGCGATGGCCTTTGAAGGTGAAACCATCAGCAAGCTCCTGAACTCCAAACGTGAGTTCAAGTGGTTGCCTTGCCACATTTGCGTCGCATGAGACTGCAAGCCATAATTCCCTTGTTGCTTTTAGTCTGTGTTTTTTTTGAACATTCTGCTTAAAAACATCAAGGTTAATGGTGGTTGGCTAAGTTGTGATCTTGGCCAGGAGTGTTCACGAGGATGGCACGTTGGACATCTCAGATGCATTCGAGGACACGCGCACCTGCAAACAGTTCGAGGCGGGAGGGAGACTTACTCCAGGACCCTTTCTGTTGAAGCTGAGTAGTAGCTCTGTTGAACCAGAAGAGATTAGGGGGGCTTGAGTGCATGACGAGGCCCTCAGCAAGGTGCTAGATGTCGAGCGCTCAGCTTCGCCTGAACGTAAGGTATCAGCACTTTCCGAGCAACAGTTGCAGAACCTCATCAGGTTGAGCAAAGCAGTACACATAAGCTCCATGGATGATGCATCAGGCAGTTGAACTGAACTGTTTGGTGAGATCTGAGCTTGGGGTCCGTGACAGCCATCGCATTGGTCAATGACCACTGCTGCTGTCCAAATCTCTGCTTGCTATGGAGCAGTATGAGGCGGTGGTGTGGTGCACGTCTCAGGGCGTTGGCCTGGCATTCAAGCCAGGCAGGTCCTCAGGCATGTGCTCATCATGTCTTCTGTTCCGTGGATTTTCGACAGCAGTCCTCTGAAAGAGGATGCTTGTTATGGCGCATTTCTGGGAAGATCTGGGAATTCCTGGAGACATAAAGCCCCTTAGGCAGAGTCGCACAGCACCTTTCATGCTTTTGCCTGAAGACTAGCTTGTCCCTCGGCAGCCCGGGCACTGTGGGCGGTAGGTCAAAACATTCATTTCTTGCAGACAGGTGCGCGCACGAAGCATCTCGAAAAGCAAAGCTGCAAGCGTCAATCCGCGAATGAATGAATGATGCACAGGTCAGGTCTCATGCTGCGACTGCGTACAGTGCTGGTCCCTGCCCACGTTGCATCGTCAAGAAACTCAGGTGAAACTGAAATGGGGGAAAATCCCTTTGATCTTGTTGGTCATCGTGCTCTCTCTCTCTCTCTCTCTCTCTCTCTCTCAATTCCATGCTAGCACTGAGTGCGTTCCTTGCGGTGCCCCCTCCCGGGTCCGGCTTGCCGGTCTCGTGTGCGGGAGATTGCCTGGTCCTAGTTCCAGTCGTTTGTCACCATTGAAACTTGCTAATTGAAACTGTGACTCCATGAACGTAGCATGCCTACCAAATTATCGACAGACCTACTGATTTTCTGAAAGCAGCATGTTTTTTGATCGGGCAGGCTTTTTCTTGACATCACCCGAAAAGTACCGCCGAGTTCGCCCGGCCCATACCAAACAAGCCTGTTTAACGACACCATACATTCTCACCACTTCAACAACACAAACTTCCAGGTCTACACCGAAGTGAAAACCCAAAGAATGACGCCAATCCTTGCCATGTCTTTACAGGTGAGGTCTGAAGCAACTACCTCAATCAGCAACTCAACACCCGTTCTCCAGCAAAACTCTGCAGCAGCTTGAGTCCCCCCTGCCAAGTGGGCATGACCTGGGGTGTCACCTTGCCCAGCAATTCATCCATCCCCAAGAATCAAGAATGCGGCGCAGGGTGGCATGACTTTGAATCATTGTAAGGGGATCGGCTGTTGCAGCGTGTCGGTGTCAAACAAGTCTTCGATGAGCTGCGCAGACGTTGTACATGTGTTTGTGTGGCAAGTGCCATCGGGCCTTGTTAGTGTAGGTTTTGCCTCGACCGTGCAGGCATGCGCAGTTTAGTGTGTGTAGGGCTGCTTTTGGAACCAGCGCATTTTGCAAAGGTTTGAGGAAGTTTCGTTTGTGGGGAGTGTGCCGTGTCAGCTAAAACCCTGCGCGCATAGGTTTGTGCAGGTCTGTGCAGAACCCATAGTACTCGCTCATAGGACAGCATGTTCCTTCATAGCTCCAACTTGAGAATGACAGCTAGCGCTATAATGGAGGAGACTTGCAGGATTTCCTGGCAATACGTCTCACTTTTGTTGGAAGAGTGGACTCCTCTCCTCTCTGAAGGTATCCATTGTGGAGCATGGCATGATCTGCGAGTCCACTCCCGGTTAATTTTGGGGTACAGAGGAGGGACACGGGTGCGCAGCGCGCCGCCTTCCTGTTAATGATTCCTGCGTGACTCGAAAGAGGGCAGTTGGGGTTATGGCAGGTTGATCTTTAGTTCTGGTTCCTACGTCTTGGCATTCTATGGTAAACAAAGAACCGATGGCTGAGATTCGCGCTCAGGTAGTTCTGGCAGTCGGCCTGATTCGTTCTCCCTTTTTAAAACAAAAAGGATTTTGCTGCTCCTTGAGGCGGCCTCCTACCAAGCCAAATGCCAAATGAGGTGCACGGGCCTGAAAGGTGCTCGGCAGCTTGTTTTTCGGTATTGCTGTTTCTGCGGAGCCCTTGGAGGAAGAGACACGGAATGGCAACCTGCCTGTCAATGTTCGAGGAAAAAAGATGTGACAAGCTGCTGAGATGCTGCCACTGATTCTCAGGCTGAGTTCGATGCATCAACCAGGAGCTTCAATGTTGGCTTGGAAGGGCTGGACTTCCTTCTCTGCCCAATTTGGGCTTGCCGTATACGTGTGGGATCTTCTTGCAATCTTTGCTCGCCACCGGTCAGGAGTAGGAATTTTACATCCATACAGAGCCAAGTGGCCTTCTACGCAGGACATCTATACAAGCTTCCTGAAAAAGCGTTGGACGTGTTCTTGAAAATCCGTCTCAGAATTCGACAGCCTGAGCAGGTCTTCTGATGGGCAGTTGCCCTCACATAAGTTGCACTGTGTGAGTGGTCTGAGTCCCTGAACCGCTGCTGCCATGATCCGCTACGCGAAGGGTGCCTTTCAGCTTCTTGGATATGAACCAGGATCCAGGTAGGTGGTTTCAAGGTGGCTTCGCACATAAGTGTACCGGATATTCCAAAGCGGACTTGCGAGTGCTTGTGTCATTGAAGCCTACTTCCGACAATTGAGAATAGTTGAAGGGTCCTGCCTCCGATTTTCCGGTCTGATCAGCTGTGCCCAGCTGTAAAGACGTAAGCTCATGCTGAGGACCCTGATCTACTGGTGGGGCGGCATCAACCGGCATCTGATCGTCAACTCCGCCCCCTGATTTGCAAAGTCTCAAGGCGAGTGTTAGGGTCAGCATGGCAGACCTGTCCCATCGAATCTGGCACGGCTTGTCCTAATCTGTCGATGTGGGGATGTTTTCCTCTGCCTGACTACCCTGGCAAGCTGTGCATGTGGCCCTGGTTCCAAGGTTTACTACTTGATCTTTCTTGTGGTTTTATGGTACGTGCTGCTCGACAGCAAGTAGCCAGGTTACGGGACGACTGCAGTTGACAAAGCCGAGTCGAGCTTGTTCCACCAAGGCAAACAAGATATCCGTTTTTGCAGGTCGACTCTTCCTCTAGCGGCCCAGGTCTCAGAGGTTGTGTATGTACGTCGGATCATCTGCGGCTGTTCATGCAGCACGCCTTTCGGTCAAAGGATGAAGCCCAAGCCCGTGTGAGAATGCGAGCAGTCTCTGATCATCTGGATTCCCGTTGCGGCCCTGAATTCCATGCTGTCCTCCAAGAGATGCCGAGGCATATCCATGCTGGGTAGTCGGCCTCTGAGCACAATCCCGGTACCGGTGTGGATGCAGGGGCAACTGCAAAGTATGAAGTACGCAGTTGTATGCTGTATGCAGAATGAATGAAGATAATTAGCCGCCAAAGTGAGTGAGGCTGCCTCGGCAAGGGTAGCCGAGCCTAATGCAGGGTTTACGGACTGAAAAAAGGGCGGGGTCGCGCCAAAAAGAGACGCAGGTCACATCCGCCCAGATGGCTGGCCCAAGAGACACTGGTGGACCAGGAGTGGGTGCCCATTCCGGGCCAAACAAAATCCTGGCTGGAAACACGCACCAGTCGGGGCGCCCTGGGAAGGGGGTAGGGGGTGGGTGGAGTTCCCTAGACGCCTTGGAGGCTTGTTGCGGACCTGATGGGGGACGGGCTGGCCCAACACGGAAGTTCAAGAGGGGGTTTCGAAAAGTTTCTGGTTGGGGAGAAGGGTTGGGAAGGAGATCCTGGTCTGCTTGTTCTAAACGCCTCTCGGTTGGAAGCCGAGGCGAATACATGTTCCAGGATGGAGGTTTAACAACCTGCAAGAGGTTCTTTTCTGGCTCTCCTGCACTTCGAGGTCTGACGGTCTTTTTGCTGGTATTTCGCGGGGGCCGCAGTCTCCATTTTGGTGTCAGAAGTCTCCATACGCAATGCTCGAGACATGAGCCTCTGCAACTCGAAGTCTGTCAGTGACTCAGCGACGTCAAAGCATGGAAGGCATGAACCAGTCCATGGCCCGGAACAACGAAGCCACGCAGAGAACAGATGTAACTTGGCATTGTTGGTGGTTTTTGGTGTAGCATCTGAAGGATTCGGCAGGAGGGCGAGGGCTTCTTTGCACTCTGTGGATGGACTGATCATAGGCGCCACTCTTGCAGACACATGAGCCGAGAAGGTGATGTAGTCCGACAGTCGCCCAGGAGATGTTCGGAGAGCTGGACTTCTTGGTCCACTCTGTGTGCACGTTTATGCAAGGCAGCGTCGCCAGGGCTTTGCAGAGTCCGCACTTTCAAGGGGCTCTAAAGACGATCGGTTTCAGGGATCTGAGGTTCCTGGCCTTCATCGGGTCCATGTCGAGGCTTAAAGTTCCACTGTCTATCTTCTGACCTTCACATGCATTGCACTTAGCCTGGGTATGTTTGCATGAGTCAGATGTCAGAAACAAAGATGGTCCCATTATGTTCCATTCACGAAGCCTCTTGTGCACAGGTGCTGGAGAAGACTCGCTTCAGGAGTTGGTGATGAATTCCTCCCGACAGCGCTCTGAAGAGGAGACGTGCTCGTGTGGAATTTGGCCGGAGTGGAATTTGAGGGTGATGTAGACAAGTGCCGGGCTTTTGGTGGCAGCGGATTCTGAAGTGCGTGTTCCATGTGTTTCTGAGACCGTGCCCGTCGTATCCCGAAGCTTCTCAACAGCCACGGCCTACCTGGTTCTTGGAAGGAGATCCGCCTCCTGCGGCATTATGGCGAGCTTGCCTCGGCAGTCCGCATCCATGTGGTAAGGCCGGGAGCAGTTTGATGTATAGCATGAATCCGTAAATTTTTCAGAATCTCTGACCCAAGCTTCAGACCTGGAGAGTTAAGGCTGACCATTGCCTTCGGTGTAAGCGGCTGGTCTATGATTGGTGCTTGTGAACGTGCCTTTGGGCTGGGGCTCTGATGCACGTGGCAACTTGCTTGAGCTCGGCAGACGTTTCTGGGGCCAAGTCCTCGACTCACCTGAGGCGTTCTCTTGTACTTCCGTGTGCTCTGTGCCCTGTCGGACGCGCAAGGAGTTTTAGAAGAGGAGGCCTGCCGGGGAGACTGAGCGCTACTCATGGCCTCGATATTTATTCTGAGTTGTCGAAAGAGTCAGTAGAGATTGCAGCTTCTTAACAATGAGAGTTCTAGCATGAGATTTCAACCTGAAGCTCACTAGCTTTGTTGGCACGATGTCGTGTGTGTCGGGTGCTTGGCAGGATCTGGTGCAGATCGTTTTCCTGCACTGCCGCCTGCAGGCGCCACGGTACGAGCTTATAGGCCCAACAAGAGCTGCTTGGCCCTTGATGATTCTGGGGAGCGAAACGAGCCGTCACACAAGTAATAGCTCTTATCGAGTCTGCTGAAAAACCGGCCGGTGTAGCCAGCTATCTTCGCAGCCACTCATCTTTGTTTGCGCAACTTGCTGTGCTTCCTCATGTTGAGTCCCCAGATTTGCCGTTTCATTGTCGCACTATGCACGTATGGAATCATGAAGTGGGTGTCACTACCTTTGCTGGTCACGTCTTGGACACAGGCCTTGCTGTATGAGGAAGAATTGGAAGTTGTGGATCAGTATGTGGCAAAGCAGCACTCGGGAATTGCCTGCTGTTAACCCTTCAAAGACCCATGAGCTGCTTGTAACTCGTTTTCTTTGCTTATCTGAGGTGGGCATCACTCGCGAGACAGAGGGAAGCGAGGATCCAAGTTTTTGGTTCATTTCAGTGAAGCATGCTCATTCCTCGGGATAATCTGGAATGTCGGAAGTCACTTTGCTTGTGCATGCCAGTTTCCTCGACCCTGGCGAAACTTAAGCAGCTTGCAAAGGCAATGCATGGGATGGTCCACTGCGAAGCATGACAACGTAAGGGCCAAGTTTGCCTTGTGGAGGGTTGGATGGGGCATCTCAGGCTCCAGCACAAGTCACTGCGGTGAATCAGGGCTCCGCATCAGGCAACAGAATGGGGACAAGCAGCTTTTCCCAATCAGAATTTCTGAACTTTTCAGCAACAGCCCTCAGCTGAAACCAACGCCACAAGGGCAATGACAGGAGTCCGCCCTCATGAGCACCCAACAGTTTGGCAACTCTGTTTGCCGTAACCGCGGGAGTCGGCCGCGGCTTCGCTCGGACGGATCTCGGACGTGTGTGCAGTGTGCGACCCAGCTCGCGCAAACCCGACACGATACACAGCACGGGTCTCGGAAGGTTCGCACGAGGCCTCGAGGATGTTCGGATGGGAAGCAGTTGTTGCTTCAGCACTTGCCAAGGCTATGATGGCGAAGCGGAGTATAGAGCCGAGGCGCTCACACAAGCCTCACGTTCTGGGGATGCACTGCGCTTCAATGCACTTCACATGTTGCGTGCATTTGTGTGCTGTAGAGGTTGGGCGATTCCGAATTGCCAGCCAATGCGCAGGGCTGCTGCCGCACACTCGGGCTGAGTTTGGGCGGTGTTTGAGGCTCCGCTGATGTGCCACTGCTCTAAGGATGCGACCTCGAAAAGCGGGCGACACAGCAGATGAGGACGAGCGCTGACTGATACAGCTTCGCCCGATGCATGGCAGCGGTTTGCCGCCGTGACGCCGTCTCAAGTTGCTCAAGTAGGGCCTTGCGCATTTTCCCAGCATTGTGCAGCAACAGTAGTAGATGTAGTAGCCTCCTAGAGCAGCCTCCCTATAGCAGCCAGAGCAACCGCCTAGAGCAGCCAATCAGTGGCCTGCGATAGAAAGCTGGGACTGCGGCAATGTTTGACTTCGACGCCTTGGAGCGATTGGAGGCAAAGGCGAATCTGGACACCTACTCTGGCAGCGAGGGCTTGGATTTCCGGGTGGGCACCTCGCCTGTCGGAGGAAACTGAGTCAAGGGCTAGATATATGGATGCTGTGTTAGGTCCTTACAAGGCATTGCATGTAACCATATGTAACCGCGTTTCAACAGTGTGGCAGGATGGCTTTCGAAGAAACGCAAGACCTCCGACTTGTCGCTTCTTGGCTAAGGCTCTGTCATCAAGTCGATCAGCCCCGTCAGGATGCGTGCAAGTGAGATGCTTGGCTGACTTATCACTTTTTGGGCTATGGTTGAATCCGGAGATGAAATGGTGAAGCTGTGAAGCAGAAGGGGGTTCCATCTTGACTTGAGGAGCCTGCAAAGTCCTGTCCTTCGCATGAAGCTTGGCACGAAGATGAGACGGTGAAGCGGATCTTCCGGCTGTTCAGTTTTTGAGGACGAATTGCTTTTCATTTTTTGTCTTTCATTTGTTATTGCACCCTCTGGTCCTCTCGGTCCTATCCTCCCTGGCCTGCCTCACACACTATGTGTGTGATACATGCCCTCTCTCTGTCTAAATGTATTCTAAATGTATTTGCACATTCTATACCTATGCATATATAGTGTGCATATATATATATATACATTACTACCTTACGTGTTCCACATATGCTAGCTACATATGCATTCTAAACTGTACAAGGATGTACTACGTACGTGTTCTACTATCTACGCATTTTGTATACGACATATATGCTATACGCCATACAGAGACAGTGCCAGACTACTGGGACAAATGCAGCATTGGACAAATGAGTTTGACGAGCAGCCCAGGAGCAAATGCTGTTGACAGCAACAACGCAGACGAAATATGTTTCAACCAGTGAAGAGCTGTTCCTGCCCGCAGGTCGTTCGGTTTGAAATGGGAGATACTGACTGGGCCTCTGATGACAGGCCTATGTCGTTGCTTAGCAGTGTTTACAAAGTGTGTATGATCATGATGAGGTCCAGAATGCAAAATACGGTGGAGAACCATATCTTCAACACATAAGATGCCCTTCGTTCAACAAGGTCGACATCTCTTGCTACTCGCACTATAAATTAGATAGCTCCAGATCTTGCCGAGCCGAAGCTGCCAAAGAACTCAGTATTGCACTGGGAAGCCGTTTTCGAGAACTGGAGCATGATAAGTTAGTACAGGATTTGCTGAGGTTAGGCTCCAGTCAGCACTATTAAGATATCATCGCCAATGGGGATCGAAAGCCAACTTTCCTCGTCAAAGACGATGCTGGGAGATCACAAATGAAGCAGCAAAGATTCTTAAGTGCTCTAGTCATGACTTGCGTGGATAGGTACATCACGTCCAATGTGGGCCGGCTTGTCGCAAATCATGGAGCCCCCGGCTAGATTTTGACATGGTTTACGATGCTGAAGGAACCATAGTGCTCTTAAAGAGCAATCGGGACTCATTGATCCCTCACCGAGGAAATATCGTCTCTCGCTCTCTCACTCTCGCTCTCTCTCTCTCGCTCTCCCGCGCTCTGTCTCTCTCTCTCGCTCTCTCTCTCTCTCTCTCTCTCTCTCTCTCTCTCTCTGTCTCTTCTGAAACAGACCCAAATGCATCCGAACTTTCGTCATGGCACCCTTTTGCACGGGAGTTTGAGGCTGCCTATCAGGTAAAGAAGTTAAGAGAAGCTCATGGTCGGCGATGCTTTCATTTGTGACAAGCTACTTCATGGGTTGGAGATACGAAATCCAACCAGCGCCGTGGCCAAGAAGCTGCATGCCTTTCAGGTCAAGGGGGCTTGAACAATGTCAATGAAGCTTCTTTGCCTGTGTAAATTGCACGCCAAGAGCTTGTTTGAGAGCTGAAAGCTGCTTGTCCAAGTTGGGGGTGGCTAGAGGAGGATACTATTTTTCGGCGATCTTCCGTGGGCGAACACGTACGAAGCTACTTCAGCATGTCCTTCATATAGTGCTGCTGCGGGTCCTGTAAGAGAGGTGTCTTTTGTTCCAGGTAATGCCACCAATATTTAATCGGCAAGACAGTGGCGGAAAACCCCGACAGAATTGGATAGACCATGCCTCAACGACTGACAATGAATAGACACAACTTCTTCTCCACTGCCGAACGAAGCTCCTTTACTGCTGCGCCAACGCTGCGCGCAATATAGGCGGATCGTCAAGGCACTGTGCAGCTTCGAAAGAGCTGTTTTTCCTACCAGTATCTGTGCCGTATGGTATCTTTGATTAATTTCACGATGCCTTTTTCTTCGAGAGTCATAAGCGATGTAGAAGGGCTTCTAGATGAAAAACCTTCAAACAACCATGTCCGGTCATCACGCCTGGGCTTCTTTGTGGCCTGTCCGCTTTCCCCGTCGTCCTGCCGCACCCTCGGTCCTTGCTAGTCCTGCGCCCCGTTTCACCTAAGTCCTGTTGCGCCTGCCCATTCATGCTTTCATGGACGAAGAGGGTGCTCCCACGAGGCTCGCCCTGCCAGTGTCCGAGATGCTTTCCTGCATGTTCACCATTGGTTCCGCCATTTCTGCCGTTGATAAAAACTTCTACACGTGGGCGGCCGTGTAGTGCGCGATCGGCTCCGGAGTTAACCGCTCGCCCCGCGCTTCTTTCTGCATTGGCATTCACATTCTGACCGCTGCCTGGTTGGGGTTCAGAGCTGCTGGTACACGCGGCTGCACGGGAGCTCCCAGCGCAGCTCCGGATCCACGCAGGGGTTAGCTGCGGTCAGCTTCCAGTTTCTGCATTCATGCTGGCCACCCGTCTGCTGCCTTGCTGTGCTGATGAGTTCCCCAGCAGCGCTTCCTTTGTGTTTGGACCTGATGCCTCGGAGCCTGCAGGGGTCGAAGGTGGCAGCGGATTTAACGTCCTAGACCGGTACAACTGCTCCAGCAACGCTGCCAAAGACACATTCCACCCTGCTCCACGAGCTGCCATGCACTGCAGCCCTCGGCCAGGACCTGCCCCCCTTGCCACTTCACTTTTGTCATTGTTTTATCGAACTTTGTCACGAACATTCTCCGCTTTTGTCCGTGGCTCCGTGGACGTCAGCGGCCTTCTATGCATAGGGTCCAAGAGGGGGAGTACAGCTTGCAGCCAAGTTTCACATCTGATTTAGAAACATGCTGAAAAATGCCACGAACCCAGGAAAATCTAGGGTCTGGTATATCAAACTCGAAGAAATTGAGCTCGTGGAAGGGTAGGCGATTGGAGGACTTCCTTTTGACAGCTCCAGAGACCGGTTTCCGATAAACCGGGGTTTCAGGAAATCCTAGGACAACCTTTCCGGAAAAGATTTCTTCTATCAGATGCAACACTGCACGCCATGTTTCTAGCATCAGTGAGCTATGCACCGGATACGTCGACAAGGATTGTTGAGGGTGGTCTTGCAACCTTGCGTGTGAGGGTGCGTGTTGCACATCTGCACGACTGTCCTTTTGAGCTGTGCTGTCGTGCTGTGCTTGCCTTTTGAGATGGCCAGCTGAGGATTTCACCAGGGCAGATTGCAAAAGTGCAGGTGCCGACCGGGCAAGCTTGCGGAAGTGAAAGGCTGTGCAGACTAAGAGGAAGATTGAAGATTGACCAATCAATGGATGGATATATCCAGTGATCCCTGCACGCCACTTGTTCAAATCTTGTTGTACCTCGGAGAGGCCTGCTGCGGGCGCAGGCTCTTCATCACTTCTTGCGGACAGGACACTGGGATTCGAAACAAGAGTCAAAATGAGGAAAGCAACAAAAGTGGACGACAACAATGAGATACATATTTATATATATGTACACATACATATACATACGTTTCTACAAATGATGCTGTATATTGCATTGTCACATGCTTATGTACACATATGTTCGTAAAGTGCACAAAAACGGAAACTACCAACAGGGATGCTGCCATGCGACTGTTCGGATGGTCATGCAACCAACCCGGCCGCGGTTTCAAGATGCGGTAGGTGTATGTGTTTCATGTTTCCGGAGTGAGCGGTTTAGGGATTAGGCTTTGCGATCGTTCTTGTTTACCCGGGCTCCCTTCGTATTCCCGGCGAAGAGCCGCAGACCTGCCTTCCTCCCCCTCCTCCTCCCCCCTCCGCCTACCCCCCTTGATTTAGAAGGCTGGCAGCATATAAGAAATTGCAGGCCGGGGCTCCCGATTTGGGTCACTGGTACATGCTGAAGTGCGATATCCCCAACGGCCGAGAGTTCATCACGTACCCGGAAGCTTCGCCAGTGCCCACGATGGCTTCTTGAAGGTGCTTCAAATTGACGCATTTTTTTGACTTCAGGTATCTGCCTTTGTGCCGTCCGCATGTGCCCCTCGCCTTCGGGCCTCCCAAGTCAGTTCAGTGTGAGCATGGCAATGGGGTCCAAGTGAACATGTTGTGTCAGGATGTGAGTTTGCAGGATCTTGCAAGGTGGTCCGGTTGAAAGGGTGCGCATATCAAGAAACATCTCGCTTTCTTCTGTCTTCCAGGAGGGCTGGGTGTCCTCTGAAGCACTTGCCGCTTGGCTTCGGTTGCGCATGTTTTGCTGTGTGCATTGCATCGACCGCTGAGTTAAAAGGTCCAGTCTCGGACAACCCAAAGAAAATCTGGAGAACTGACCGTGGAACGATTTTCCACAAAACCCTCAAACCGGTAGGTCTGCTAAAGGCCCACGGCTTATCTAGTTCGCAGCTGGCGTAATGTGCAGGGTGAAGGTTTTCTCGGGCTCCTTGGGATGTTTAACTGGGATCAAGTGATTAGATGAAAGGTCAAGATGGTTCTAGTGTTGCGGGGGTAGCTGTCTGGATGGCTTCATGACGGGGGAGGTCTTGGTGAAGCGGAGATGGTGTGAAACCACTTGAAAGCCGCCCGTGTGGCGCTGCAGTTGACCTTCAGAGCTTGCACCTCACACACCCTGACTTCCGAGGATGCAACCGTGCTTTGGCAGCTAGCTTACGAGAACTCCGTGGATGCGCCGTTGCTGACCGTGAGGCTATCACTTTCGCCTCACCCACGACCATACTTCACGTCAAAAGCTGTAAGATGTGGGCCTTTCGACGATCTTCGTCCCTGTTCCAGAACTTTTTTTTTGCTTGTTTGATACCCGTAGAGACTCGCCATCTTTGACAGAGCCTGGAAACGACCAGAAACACCGAGATTTTTTTACTACAGCCGGCAATGGTCCGTGAGAGGCCTTTCCGGGAAGTTGATCGCCCATGGCTTCAGTTGCTTCGCGGCAGCCAGAATGTAAGTTTGACCATGCCAACGTCTGCAGCCCTGAGCTGCTTCTGCCGCAAAAGGCACATTGAAGCACAGTGCTTCGGCCTGCGCGACCAGTCGCTGCATCTGCCACTGGGACAGAACTTCAAGATACTTCAAGACTGTCAGGCCGATGCAAGAGATGTGACCTGTGGAGCGTCCAGGTGGCTGATGCAAGCCGCAGAACCTGGCTCGCGCACGTGCGTCGACGTTGCTGTCATTGGCCGCGCAGCAAAAATCGTCAATGTGTTGTTCCGAATAGGATCCGGGTTTTGTCAAGGGAGGCAGCAGCGAAACCACATGCACAACCTCCCAGGGGCCAGCGTCGCTGGCTACTGTGCGTGGCGCCTGGAAGGGGATCTGCAGCCGGAGCCTTTGTCGATACCGGCCTTTGAATTTCGTACACCTTGTGTGCATCTCACACGTGTCAATGTCAGCATATCTCAGCTCAGCTCGCCCGTGCTCTACGTCCTGAGCCTGGCAGTGGAGGCGGCCCAGCGCCGGCGCGGCCACGCTGCGGAGCGCCACTTTGGGGTGTGGAGCATTCGGCGTTCGGGTCACTTTCTTTTTTACCTTCCCTCTTGCTTTCAGCATGTGCTGAGATGTGTTGAGATGTGCTGAGCATGGAAAGGGCGGTCGGTTTCGGTGGGTGTTTCTTCACACGTTGGGTAGGGGCTCACCTTTCTCGGTCACATGCCAAAGGAATTAATCATTCAGACTAGACTTCCGTCAAGCATCAAGTTACTTAAGCGGCCGGGGGCTGGGGAGGATCGAGGAAAGGAAGGAAGAGATTCTACAGTTTGTTTTGAGATGGTCCCCTAGCTGCCGTAGCTGGTGGTTAGGGGTCCATAGTCACCTCCCCCCTCTTTGCAGGGAGGGTTTGGGGGGGGAGGGGTGGGAAGAGCCTCCCCCAACAAAGACCCTGTAGGTCAAGCCGAGGACCCCATTTCCCGGCACAATGTATGAATATCTCCGTTCTCCATTGAACATTTAGCTAAATGGGGTCACGGGCGACATGGGGGTTTCCTGGAAGGGGATACAAAGGAGGGGAATCATGGGAGGCCGAGGCGAATGCGTTATTCAGTACAGCCATCAGCAGCCCAACCCTAGACTTAATCATTTCATGCATACGCCCGACTCACACGGCTATGCTCATAATGTAACGCGAAGGATAGCGGACAATCAAGCCATATCCTAAACTCAAAAAGGGGATTGACCTTTCCAGCGTCTCGTTGACAGCAGGAGCTGCTCCGGCATGCCATTCGACAGGGAGAGCTCAGCGGCGCTGCTGCCGCAACCTTGCACGTGCGGGTGTGGATCCCGGAAACAAAGAAACAAGCGGCCGGTCCGGATTTCAGTTCAAGCTGCCCAGCATACATCGGCTCGTGTTTTTTAGCAGGTGGACAACGAGCCAGCCAAGTCTTTGTACGCTCGTTTAGGCCTGGTTGCCCACCGCCGTTGCGACGTTCATGACGGTAGAGACCTTCGTGTGCTCAAGTGCTTGCCCATGCTGTGGAGGCTTTACACATGTCGCCCGTGTCCAGAAGTACTATGGAAGCTGCGATGCCTGGGAATTACTTAGGCGCGGCTTGTTTTATCCATGGGTTGCTTTGTTTCGCCTGCTGCGCTGGACGTATTTTGTGGTTTCTCCGGTGTGGAAAGCCAGGGAGCTACCAGCTATGGTCAAGCGCACGGTGGATCACGCTCGAGTGCAGGGCTTACCTGATGGTATGTGCGTGTAAACGCATTCTTTTGTTCCGGTGTTGGACTCATCCATTCTCTGTTGACGGTCTTCAACTACAAGGGTTGCGATGCCTGGACGTCGTGGAAAACTGTTGATGCGACTAGTTCCAGTGCGTTTGGGCACTGCTTAGCGACTTGGCTAAGGTGCTGAAGCTCCGTGCTGAAGGCCATTGCTCTTATCGGATCGTCCATGCAAGAGACCGTTGTTGCTCAATGCGGTATTCTGCAGACTCCTCTGGCGCTGCTCTTGTGCAGGCTTGGCCCAGCTTAGTGTGATCCGGATGTTGCAGTGGACACAAAACAACGAGGTGAGGCTCTTAGGTTCTTGGCTGTTTGTGCTATGAATCTGCGCGTAGTGCATTGTCAACTTATCATCGTACGCGGAGAGTGATGACATGTTGACAGCTGGAGGCTATGGCCGCTCTCTTGGCAGCTGGTGAGGTGCCCATGGTGGACTGCCAGGCGCACAGCAGCTGCATGTTGCAAGGCTAGCTGCTTCTCCCGTGCCTCTGCTTCACGGAAGAGTTTGCTTCGCGATGCTTTCGGGACTGCCAGGGGACTGCGCTTCCAGTGCTTCAGTGCTTTGCGCATGTGGTTGCAGGATGTCCTGCGTGAGTGTGGCCGAGCTTTGGGCAGCAGCTGCCGCATCATTGGACAAAAAGCCGCTGATGCTCCTTACGTCATGTGTTTCGATTACGCAATAAATCATCCTTCCAGTTTACATGCGTGGACTCTCATCTGACATGATTTGCAGTTGCGAAGTCCACCAGCCTTTGGTATCCAGGACTGCGCATTCGTGCCTCAGAGCTGTGACATCGCAGCTTGGCGAAAGGCTGCAGGCATCTGAAAACGACAGGTGTCGAAGCGCTGAAGGATTTACAAGGTTGGTGTCATTGGTGCCACCACACTGCGTACATTGGCATCACAGCTTTAAGGTACCGGCGTTGCCCAAGGCCAGCTAGTCTTTTTCACAGTGCCAAGTGCTGACATGTTCTGATACCTTTTGCGCTACTGTGCCCGAATGGCTCTGAGAAGCATCAGCCCTTCACTGACTGGAGCGGAGGTCATCCTGAGCATGCTGGCAGAGGTGTGTCACATGCCCATCGCACAGAAGTGGGGCTATCCCGAGCGCGTGCGAGCCCGAGTCGTCCACGGGGGAAGCCCCCTTCGGAACTCCTGGCCCGCTTGGGAATGGGCTGTAAGGTGCTTAACCTGATCGCCGATATCACCGGAGTCGCCGGGCTCGGTGTTTGCCCGCACTGCCTCAAAGATCACAGTCACGAGATTCTCACATTGCGCTGTTCGTTTTGGCACGCACAAACATTCCACTCAGGATGCTCTGGACCAGCTGACCCACCTGGCGGGTCTTATCATGCGGCCCGTATCCTTGGCGTACTACCAGTGCCTTGTTTAGAAAGAGAAAGCAAGGGCGCACCAGCGGTCGAGTTTCCAGAGCACATCACCCGAGACATCATCAGTGACGCTGAGGCATTGCCGCGTGATTGTCGAAGCCTGGCCAAATATCGGGTTTCCGGAGTTTTGAATCAGAACATCCTGTCACACTTCCAGCGGTGAGATTGGCAAAGTACTCAGCAAAGGCAGTCTTCACCTTCATGTGGCCGCTGGTACACAAAGTCAGCTCACACCTCAGCTGTAGAGATCTGCGAAGCCGCGAATATTCTTAGATCTTGTGGATCGGGGGTTTGGAAACGGCTGATGCACCAGCATGCATGTGTGAGTAGCTCCAGAAGCTTCGCATCCTAGAGTATCCTGGCACCACAACGTCGTCCGGATGTATTTCTGCATGTGTCAGCCTGACGTTGATCCAGGCGATGATCTTGTCGGCAGCATATTTGCTTCCTGTCTTCAAGTAAGCCGCGCCAAATTGTCACACCTCTGCGTAGCTGATGAGAGGCATGATCTTGTCGTTGGTGTGCCCAGGACGGCATCGTGTTTCCTTGGGTGGTCTACTGGGCGTCTTGGTCTTCCAAAGCATGCAAAGTTGCGGTAGCATCCTTTAGCATTCTTGAACAACGATGGTCCGCCGGGTTGGCATAGCAGGCATAGCACCAAAGCGCTTGTGGTGGTGTTGTTGTTGCAGTCACGGCAGGGACACGACAACGGAATTGAGGGTTGTGGACGGGCAGGGTGACCAGTTCGACGGGTTTGACGGGTTTGGGTTTTTATCGAAGTCGAAGGGTTTAAAATTGAAGGCTGCTCTGGTCACCATGCGGCATGGATGTAAAACTGCGGTAAAGCAAGACAGCACCGTCAATAACGATTTCCCATCTTGAAGGGTCCGACACGCTCGAACATACTGGTATAAACAAACTTTTGGGCACGCTAAACCCGAAACACTGCAAATATCACTTAGTCGGCTTGTCTGTTTCGCGCTCGAACAGCCCGGCAGAGCCCCTAAGAACAACCTGTGCTTCCACTATCCCTAAGCTACCTAGCTGGTGCAGTTGAGGCAATGTCTGGTCTGGAGAGGCAACGCGATTTGCAACTTTGCCAGAGCTCGCCCTTGGTCAGGTTGTGTGTGTGTGTGTGGCTGTGTGTGAAACTTGGCAGTTCCGCAAGCTTTCGTGCTCCGTGGTGGTGAAACTTTTTGCCACCGCCAGTGATGCGGATGAGTCGCTACCACATCTCTTGTTGTCCAATGGTTCGTGGGTGCGGTCAGAGTAAGTCAGATTGCTCTTCAGGTCCAGTTGACTGGATAGGCGAAACAGCAATTGCCAGGCTTGCGGAGATGATGGAGAACCCTGTGGGCGACGATGACACTGACATTGATATGATGCAGCAGATGCATGAATTGGAGGCAATGTCGGGGATTCGCTGGAAACGTCTGGCAGAATACAGCTTGTCGTAACAAGCCCTGTACTCGGACACCAGGTGACCACCTTGATAACAACGAAAATCGGTCCACCTCTGAACTGAAAGGTGCAAGTGGCCAGCTGAGGATGTAGGAACTGGAGCTTGGAAACGCTGACGTTCCAATGACCGGCTGAAGCTTTAGCAGGCACTTTCTCTCTCTCTCTCTCGTGCGCCCGGGCTGCTTCTGGTCAGTTCAAGGGTCCGCGTGGGGATCTCGAGAGCCCTATACGCACGATCCGGGGGAGGGTTGGATGCAAGGGCAGTGCAGGATGAAAGCTGGAGAAGCGTTGCATTACGTTGCGTGCCTTTGCATCTGATGTCAGGATACAAAAGTCGCATACGCAATGTGCCCGGGTGGGGTTAGACATGGCGAAACTGTGCAGTTTGTTGTTTTTGTCGCGTTCGTGGCATTGCAGAGAATGGGTTCATCAGTTGTCACAGTGGCCGGCCAGCGAGTCGTGAGTTGGCGCCCGTTGTGGCATTCGAATGTCCCGAGCGGGACAGGTTGGCCTGCAGCTCTCCTTCGAGCTATCAGAGATCCGCCGCAGCACGCTGCGCAGGCTTGAAGGGTTGCCCCAGCCGAGGAATGCCACTTGAGCACAGAAGAGCGTAGAGGTCGCATAATGGGTGGTATGAGAATTTCCAAGATGGACGCACCAATCGCTGAAGGCCGTAAAGGGTTTTGGCAGTGCCACAAAAGTTTTTGGAGTGCAGGACCCTGGCGAAGGGATGTCCCAGCTGCCCTGAGGCGGCAAAGGCGGCACAGAACAAGACAGGAGTGGTTTGAAGAGTTCCATTTGTTGTCGCTCTTCTTTCATGCATCGTCAAGTTCTCCTGCGGTTGCACTATGCTGCACTCCTTGTCTACCATGTTCGCTAGGCGAAAACCCCGCCGCTGGCACCTGCTGCCCACTTTGAGGCCCAGTCTTCAGACTGACACATGACATGGTGGCTGCTTCTCTGAGACTGATCACGTGTGTGTGTGTGTGTGTGTGTGTGCGCGAAGGATTACTTCTGCTGGCTACCGTTGCCATCGGCCATCGCAGAAGGGGCACTCATCTCAGCCGAGATGCACATCGGTTGGCCGCAGTCTCGCCATGCCGCAATATCTTCAAAATGTCCGGACTCGACTCAGATGACCCTCAAGCACGGGCACGTCGACCACGTCCATGCAGCCTTTTTCGAGGCATGCTGCCTCGCCAGAACTGGCGGGGTGTTCGTGCAAAAGAGAGCAAGACAGCCGCTTCCCCGAATGCCGAATCACGAAAAAAGCAGCTGAGACAACCTGACAAAGCACGAAGCTACCTTGACCTCAGGGTCACGCGACGGACTTGCGCAGTTTTCTGCGCAAGACATTGCGCCGGTGCGGGAGCCAAGGAACCAGGGGGAGACAGTCTCAGTGAATTTGTCGCAATGGCTTCTGAGAACGCTACAGTGTTCCAGTAGCAGCTGCTACCAGTACTGTGAGTGCTGTTGCAAGTGCAAGCTGTAAGTGGGAAGTTCACAAGAAGTGTAAGAAGTCTGCGGCCGAGGCAGAGCGCGGGCCGCCGCAGCCCATGCGAGGCCATCCCCGAGGCGGGGGGCAAGTGAGGGCCCGCCAGATAAACTCTGGAGTTGCAGTCAGTATGCAACACTATGTCACTATGTCACTATGTCGCTGTGCTTGCATGTGGGGCAAAACTCTGCATCAGAGGCTGTTGTCCAATGCTTACCTTGGTTTCGTTGGCTATATGGGCTCAAGCTTTTGGCTTCCATCAACCCTGGGCCCGCGGTACCAGCCGAGTCAGGAGAGTTTCCCTTGGGCAAGCATTGCGCAGTGCGCTGCAAGAAGAGTGCTGTGCATGTTGTGCATCTTGCTCGTGTGGCAGACATGCCAGTTCAACTGACATGCGTGTTGATATGTGTTGATGACAAGAGGATTGCTGTGCAGATCTTGAGTCTGTTCAGCACCAAGGCCAGCATGCAGTCAGCTGAAGCGACCAAGAACATTCAAGCAGCGAATGCTGTAACACCACCCTCGTCCCCTCGTTCTTTCGGTCAAGGCGCGCAGTCGGCTGGAGATCAAACGTGAGTCAAATTGAGTGCAAGCTTCTGAAGCTGCAACGCTTATTACTGCTCCAGTGAGATGTGAGAAGATGCATCGTGTGCTCTTTGCAGAAGCTCCTGGAAATCCCATATTCTACCCCTGCAGATGTGGCAATCGCTCAGAGATGCAGAACCAGCTCACCTGCACATAGGATGAAGTCGCCTCTGCACCAGAAGCTCCGCTGTGCTCAGGACGCAGCCCATCGCGAGACTCCGTGAGGCCTCGGCTTACTTTTGCCCTAGTGACGCAAGACGCTTGACCTTCTTGCCGCACAGAGAACGGCTTCATCTGTCAAGCCATGGGAGCTCATGGACACATGCGAAAACTGGAATTCGGTGAAGCTTGACCTGACTTCTTTCGACAAATGTTCTCTACGTCCTGAAACCCCACAGGGAGAGGGCCGCCCGAGCCGGCTCACCAGATCCTGTGGATGCAGAGCTGCAGCTCAGGCGGCCTCTTGCTTGCAGTATTCTGAGATGAGAATTCAATGACAAAAGCCCGACATGTGTGTCCGGGGGGGCTGTGCTCATCAAGAGAAATCAGTGCCCCTTTGAATCGTTTCAGACCCAATCATGCCATCACGCGCGTGCTGTGCTGCCAAAAGACAGGGGTTGCCCCGGCCACCCCCCCGCCCCGGGCCCAATCCCCCACCCCCACCTTTTTTCAAATGCCAATCATGTTCAATCCCATCACGCGGCATTGTGTTTGCAAATGGCGGGAAGAGGACTTCCCCCCCCCCCCCCCCCCCCCCCCCCATTCTCCGTCGCCCCTTCAATTAGGGCAATTGTGCCAGACATCTGGCTCGAATGTCGGAGAATTGAACCTGTCTGGGTTATATAGCTTGTTTGGTTCAATGGAAAGCTCAAAGTCTTGTCGTGAAGTGACAGCAAAAAAAGGCAGAGCTCAGAGGGTTTTCGGGAAGGAGCTCAGGGCAGGGTATGGCTGAGGTGATCTTTGCTTGTCAGTTTTGGAAGCCCCGAGGATCTTTGGCCCTACTGGCATGCCCGGTGCTCCTACTCCGTACAGGCGTTCTGTTCCTGTTCTTCAGCAGCAAGAGTGAGTGTTGAACGCCTTTTAATCGTTACCTTCTTGCGCCACGCGGCGCGTGCTACAGTTGCCATGAGACCATGGGAAGCCCAGGCCCTGCCGAAGGTTGATCTTTTCGAATTGCTGCTGGAGGGGAGCGATGCACGGCAGATGACGAAGGGGAACTGAATGGCGGCCTGGTCAGAAATGGTCAATTTCTTCGAACCCACTTATAAGCCCCTTAAAGGCCCGAAGATGGTTTGAAGTACAGTTATAAGTACAGTTACAGTTGTACTTGGATAATAAGTACCACGAACCTCCAAGTAGTGTGTGTGTGCCACAGCTATGTTCTCATCAGTGAGGATGCAGCACGGCTGCTGTAACCTGTAGACTTAGTTTCATAGTATGCCCTCTGTATGCTTCTTCCCGAGCCTCTCTGCATTTTTGCATGAGCGTCTAGAACTTCAGGTCATGCCAAAAGACTTCCCAAAGTTTGCGCTCCCAAATCCGAATCCCCTGAGGAGCATGGTCATCTTACCCTCTAGGATCAGGATTACTCGGATGGATCGGGGCTAGTCTCAGGCTTGAGAGCTGAGGACCTGATTAGGGGCCTCAACAACGACCTGCCGAATGCGGAGGGCCTGATGGGCCGATTGCCACGCGTGTCAAGGGCGGGTCGCTGACTGGGGAAGCCAGGTTACTACGACAGTAGTTGCCCAGGTTGCTTGACGATTTTTTTCTAAGGCAAGAGGACAGCGCCTTGAAACGGCCATCCTCTTGATTGTTGTTTTTTGCAATCGTATTGGGAAGCAAGGTCACAAGCCCAAAGCAAGCTGTCCAACATCGTTGTATCACGCTGCGCAGCGGATCCTTTTCCATCTTCTCCTGTCCTTGCCTCTCAACAAGCATCACGCTATGTATCCTGTGCGGGGCTTCTGCCCCTGGAGCTTGCACTTGTGCGACCCAGCCGGAAGACCGTTGCAGTCGAGATCTAGCTGCCCGGACAGTTCAAGGCTGCTCTGAGCGCAAAGAGGCTAGCCACTTGATACATCTGACAACCATGTCTGCATGACTTCCGAAAGCTCTGCACGTGAAATTGCGCGATGACCGCGATGACTGCGGCTGGCCGTGGGGGTACGCGGGGCTTGGGCTCCAGGGCTACAAGAATTTCTCGTCGCTTTTCAGTATTGCTTGAAGGGGGTAAGTATCGCTTGTGGAAGAGCCTCGCTAGTGCGGTCTTAGCGTGAGGATTAGGGCCAGGGAAACCTGATTCGCCAGTTTTCGGACGTAGCATTCTCGCCAAGGCCAGCCGCCGCATTGCACAGCGCCATGTACATCGAGGAACCAAATTTAAGTTCGTTTAAAGCCTACTTGACGCCCGGTGAATGTGACGCAGATCCCGGCTTTGAGCATCTTTGACCAGCTCGAGCTTTCTTCTCAGGAAGCTGACAAGGAGATGAAAGCATGTGTCGGTGTAGCGTCCACAGCGATTCACCAGAGCAGTCTCGAAGTCGCCAATGATAGCGGCAGATGTGGAATGGTACAGTGGTTCTGATGACAGATGCATTGCTTGTCTGTCCGAGCCTGGCGGCCCAACCATGAGTTGACTGCTCCGTTGCTGTCTAGCTTGCAGTTGCTTTCGTAAGTTTAGGTTTGGGGGGGGCCAATGGTTTGTCCCCTTCAAAGTGTAGGGGAAATGTGAAGACCGCTCTTGTTTTAATACAGGTAGTAAAAAAAAGGGAATCACTATGTTAAGGAAGCCCTTGGAAGTCTCATCAAGCAGGATATGTGAGGATAATCTACATCTAAAGTGCGGCACCTTTAAAGAGCAAGCCTTGTTTGAGGATTTGCAAGGGAGCAAATGAACGTCCATGGAGCCTATATGGGCATATCATGCGCATGAGCGTTTCTGTTGGCGATTTGCATGTAGACTGGTTGGGGTATTGGGGGAATCTCGCCTGGACAACTGGCAATCAGGGCCGGCGGTATTGGCATCTAAAGTCAGGCTTTTGCGGAAGAAACCTCCTCTGTAGGCATGGGCGGAATTGCAAGAGTCTCCATATCGAACGATGGCCTTTTTTTATATGGGTATCCATATTAATTTACACCAGCTTTGAGATTTGCACGGGCATATTTGGAGGGCGATCCGCATGTAATAGGGTTGCAAGGGGATCTCGACACAACATGTAGGGCTTGTGTAAGTTTCGGAGATTATGTTGTTCGATGTTGTATGAGATCGGCGTTCACCGTGATCACAAACATCAGTGATTCTCCAATTCCGCACACAAAATGATAGGCTTTGAGTGTGTGTGTGGGTGTGGGGGGGGGACCAGGGTGTGCTCGGCCTGTAACCCCAGGAGTACTCCGGCCAGAAGGCTTATGTAACTACCCGTGGGCCCCACATTCAAGCACACTTGCAACACCTGAGTCACGGAGACTCCCCCCCCAAGCCAGCAAGAGGAAGCTACACTCAAGCTAGCGAGGGTTGGATGGATCACTTGGCAAGACAGCCCACTTCTCAGACTCAAAGTTCTTCCACCATGATCCCTCATGGAGGTACTAAGCAAGGGATGCGAACTTGAACATTTAAATAAAAGACCCTACAGGGTCGTCCCACACGCACGCACTCACGCACCGCCAGCAAACAAGGGGCAAACGGCACAGCTCGCTGAAACCCCATAGGCTGGACACGTCACAAACAATATCCCCTTGGTGCGATGGGGCAGTGCCTAAAGCTGAAGGCACCACCCCGGGACGAAGGGGCAATGATGGGCTTTGAAAAGGAGCCTGAACGTAACGGATATGCTGCAGGAGTCTGCTTATGAACATCAAGTAACCCCGTATCAGTATTAGCTCAACATTAACAGCACAACACTGGTAAGACAAGACTGGAAACCAAGCAGTAGCGCACACGTGTGGCAGTCACTTCTGGCGAAGCTCACTCGCCCTGCTGCCAGCCTGCGTAGAAGGCTCATGCAGTGTGAACAAATTCGTAGATAGGCTGCTGCACGCTAGACGTCGGCCGGGTCCTCGCTTTGCACATCTTGCTTGCCTGGGAGAGGTTGTACCATACTTAGTTAACTAGAAGAAGCAGGCCCGTGAGGCAATTCAGCATCGTGACATAAGCGCCTTTTCTATCCATGCTGACGTACAGTACGTGGAGCAACACTTGGAGCCTCCGTTCATCATCAACCAATGCAGAGCTGTCGAGCCCCGCGACACATGCTCCAAAGTGATGGAGCCGTTCCAGGACTTATATTACCCTTGCGACTCTTCTTCAACTTCACGCCTTTTTGGTTTAGCAAAGAACGGTTGATGCTGATTGATTGAACAGTAGCAAAGCAATGGGCAGCCAGTTTGTTTTTGCTTTTTTCAGCGGCTGCGTGACGTTGCAAGATTGTATTGTTAGTTTCACAAGTAGTTCGTTTGCCGTGCTGGCACTAATGACAGACAAGTGCCAAGCTGCGAAACGTTTAAGAGCTGGGCTTCTGGAGGCATGCCCATGAAGGGAGGGCAGCTCCTGCATCCTCTGCGTGCCTCGTTGCCTAGAGTGTAACATAAGATGTGCGTGGTCTGCATCTCTTCGAACGCTAGCCTTCGTGCTGGAAAGTGGAGAGGTGCTGCAGCCGCACGCTAGATGTCGGCCGGGTCCTAGCTTTGCAAATCTTGCTTGCTTGAGGTTCTACCATACTTAGTTTACTAGAAGAAGCAGCCCGTAGGGCAACTCAGCATCCTTGATGTAAGTAGCTTGACGTACAGTGCGTGATCAACGTTCGCAGCCTCTGTTCATCATCAACCAATGCAGAGCTGTCGAGCCCCGCGACACATGCTCCAAAGTGATGGAGCCGTTCCAGGATTTATCTGACTCTTGCGACTCTTCTGCAACGCACGCCTTTCTTGTTTAGCTAAGAACTGTTGATGCTGATGCAACAACAACAAGGCAATGGGCAGCCAGTCTATATTTTCAGCGGTTGCGTGATGTTGCCAGTGCAAGACTGTATCCCTTTAGTTTCACACATAGCGTGCATAGCTGGCACTAGTGGAAGACAAGTGCCAAGCTGCTAAGCATTTCAGAGCAGGGCTTCTGGAGGCATGTCTGCGAAGCGAGCACAGCTGCTCCTTTCGCGCTCTGCGGCCTCGTTGCCCAGTGACAGGTCGTGACGCCCAAAAAGGGATAACAACCTACCTGGCCTTGTGGCGGCTGGAATTGGTGCGGTGGCGTGAGACGTGATTAGTTGAGTGTTCTGTCGTTGCGCCTCATCGAGCGCCTGGTTCTATTGTTCGCTATCTTCCTTGTCTCTAACCAACGTGGTCCGCATCTCTTCGAATGCCAGCCCTTGTGCCGACGTGCGGATTCCGTCAGCAGCCCGCACAGGCTCCGCATGTGCCCATTGCACTGTGCGGCATTTGGGCAGCTGGCGGGGCCGCATTCTTCTAAGCGCACTGCTTGCACCTGCCGGGCAGATGGCGAGCAGGTGGAGAGAGCAAAGGTGCCAAAACCATGGGAGTGGGGCTCTTGTCACCTGATGCCTCACCTCTATCATCCCCGTACTGGGCAATGTAGGATGGAGCTGTCGCCAGGCTGCTGGGGCGGAGGAGCTCAAGGTGTACCCGGAGGCAAGGAAGCAAACATCACACAAAATGAGGCAAAATGAAGCTCGAAGTCCCATGAAACCCTTTCCAGGCAGAGCTGGACAGCACAATGGGCACGATCCAGCGGGACACCAACGGCTTCTGGCCCCTTGCATGAGAAAGGGCAGATGCAAGCACATGCCCTTGTGTGTCAAATGAGGAAAACAAGGGAACCGTACTGTCAATATGCATTCTCGAATCCGAAGTTCGTTCAGCAACCCACTTTCTTCCTATGCCGAATCTACGCCCCACGCGTTCCTTACATATGCATGGTCTGCAGAGCATGAACCATTTCTGCATCCAGGCACTACCTAGCCTTCCGCCCAGCTGGGATCTCAGAGCCTGCTTGTGTGAGCATGTGGGCAGATTGGATCGTTTGCAACCCGGATCCGTTCTGTGTGAGTGCTTTTGGAACACTCGTACTTCTGACGGCAGGTGCTGAACAAGCCTGGGGCTGACGGTGAAATCCGGCGTCAGGTTCGGTCCGGGTGCAGGGTATAGGGACTTGGTGTCGACTGCGCGGAGGGTTCCCTTCCTTTGTGGAACCAGAGCATGTTAGGGGCTTGGCGAGGGCAGGTGGAAGTGCATGTGCATCGAAAAGGGTATACACAAGATGGCCTGCGCCATGCATCCTACATTCCTACATACACGCCTCTTTACACCGGCTTCTGCTCCCGGGCTTCCCAGCTCAAGCTTGTGCAGGAACTTTGGCGAAAGCGGATGGTTAACTTACTCGGCAAAGAGCATCCAGCTGTCCAAGCCTTGAGCTTCTGAGGTGAGTAGATGAGCTGTTTCGCGTTCATCCGACTCTGCAATCGGCCCGCTTGTGTATGCTTTGCTCCCTGCCACATGCCGCATGCGTCTTTCAAGAAGCTTCATACTAGGCTCGGACTTTTCCACGGACTGCACTGCTAGCCACCTCATGATGGTTACTGTGATGGTCATGGTGTAAAAAGCTCGATTTCATTTTTCCAGCTGAGTAGGGGAGATTTCGTTCTCCAGCTGAGTGATGTGGCGCTCCGTTCTGTGTTCTTCACTCTGTTTTGTTGCTGAGGCGAAGCTGCTGGAAGCGACCGAGCAAACCGACTCCGCGAGGCCTTTTTTGGGACAGTGCACCGCGGATGTGCACCGGGGATGCGAACTGGTGGGTCTTTTGACATGTTTGGATCCTCCCCCCTTCAAATTGCGGCGCGCTCTCCGCAACAAGCCGGGCCAGGTTCAGCCTTTCGTGTTGTGGATTCTCAAGTTTTTGGGTGACCCTGGTGCTCCTGGGCCCTGAGTGCTTGCCCAAAACTGTACCTATGGCGGGCTTCTAGAAATGCGGGCCACTTCTAGATCTCAGAACCAGTAGAATCGCAGTGCCATTGCGGCCTCTTCAGCCAAGCTCTGTGCGTGAGGCGTCCACAAGTATTGCGCACGCAGGGTTAGCCTGAGTACTACAGCCGGGCCTGATAGTTTCGAGCAGATTTTCGGGTTGCGGGGTGTGCAGGTCCGTGCTGTTGCAGCCGCTGAAGCCTCCGAAACCTCGCCGGCACCACGTGTCTGAGGCAGGGACTGTCAGGGTCATTCGGGAAGATGCGAGAGCGTCTCTGAAATGGGACACGGACTCGAAATATTGCACTCAGTGCTGAAGCATCCCCACTTTTGGGATGCCATAAAGTTGTTGCCGCGCTTGGCAGATCTTTGTGATTGTCTGTGTGACAGAGGCCCTAGCAGAGTCCATGGCTCCACGCTCACCGCTTTCCAAGGACCTGCGTTGCACATGCAGGATCTAGCTGCTGTCATATTGTGGCCCATTCTGTCCCTTGCCAGAAGTTTTCGTTTTTGTCGAGGCTAATCGGGCCTTGAAGCGATCAGGCTGGCGTTGGGGCCTGGGACACACTCAAGTTGGAGTTGGATCGAGTCACAGGTTGCAAGGCGCTTCAGTTTTGTCACCAGCAATTGTGGATGCAACGCGCCCTGCTCGATCGAACATTTTGGCAGGCACGGAGCCCGCCTTTCGTTGGGAACATGCCATGCATTCAGATCTTCGCACCTCCCACTCGGCTCCAGACAAGCATGGCCTGGCATTCTATGACACTTGGCTGAATTGAGGTAATTAAATGCCCTTGAAAGGGCCCAACACCGTTATTGCATGTGACCACAAGGTATAGCCATACGGCATTGCCATGTCTTTAACGAAAAGCAAGTTGCCAAGAATGTGTCAGGAGACAGGCTTTGGCCACTCTTCTTCGTTCTGCCCTCAGCGTTTAGCAAGCCCAAAGCTGGAATACCTTCAGCCGACATCGGCTTTTGTTGTGTCACCTGTCTTAGTGTTGGCAAGTGCATCTTTGGAGTGGCGTGATGGTCGGGCCTCGCCTTTCCGACAAAAGCGGGCTTGCGGGCAATCTCAGAGACAGGGCGGTTGTGGGGAGAGCGACGAGCGGTGAGTGCCTGAAAGTTTGCCGCCCAGTCTGCTTCGAGCGACTTCTGCCGTTTGATACGTCTGCATTTGCAGGCCCTTGTTGAACTGCATCAGCCGATGTTCGATTGAACTTTGTGCTACTTGATTCTCCCACACTTTTCCATCCACCTCCAAACTCAGAAGACCTTGCAGGCTGTCTGCTGACTGGCGCTTGTAGAACCTGCTGGCCGGCAGCGCGCCGTGGGGTAATGCAAGAATAGTGCCACTACGGGTCTGTAGGAAGCCCATAAACATGTTGAGGCTGCATGAGGCAGTCAAGAAGCACACACAGCACTTTCTTGTAGATGAGAATTGCTAGTTTGACACTCTCGAGGCATTAACATTGGACCCCAGGGCGTCCTGCCCAAAGATGGAGTCAGCAGAAGGCTCACGAAGAGCCACAAAGAACTAAGCACGGGCTGCACCGTTGCTTGGACTCCTGGTGGTTTGAAGGATTCATGAAATGACTCGTTCCTAACTAACCTTGTCGTACCACTGGGTGTTAGTGCGTCTTGGCCTGCCAGCCAGCTACTTTTTCCGGCATCGGGAACAGCAGCTGCGGGGCAAGCTAGAGCTTCCGAAATAGTGCCTCACTCATTCCGCCAAGCGGGCAGGCACGAAAAGGGTCGGGCTCTTTGTACAGTGTTGTCCAGGAGCTGCCTTAACCTATTCGCCATGCAATGCGGAGCGAAGCAGCTAGACCATCAAGGTATGCAGCATGCATGTTGACATGAAAAGAAGATGTCCGGCCTAGATTTTCCGTCGGTCGAGGATTGTCAGGGCAAGAAAGGGTGAAAGGCCTGCGCGTGTCCCTTGATACCGGCTACATCTGTGGCAACACCTACGCAGTGGAGCCTTTCTACTTTGTCTTGCCCTGGCCTGACTCGAAGAGAAAATCTAAGGTTTCGGTAGGTCTGCCACCACCTGCGCACCCTGGATTTGCTAATGAGAAGCTGATTGTTGCAAAGGAGCCTCTGGCTTCCTGATCAAGTCCCTTAGTAAAGAGGTTTCCCTTGAAGTGGTGGCAGCGGATGCAGCGGGCAGTTGACTAGATCATACTAGACCACTGCAGATCTGCAGAGGGGAAATACTTGCTGAGAGCTCGTGGCACGTTGCAGGAGAGGTGTCGAGGTACAGGCGTGTGCAGGCTGAGGCAAGCAGGGAAGATCATGGAAGAAGGTGGAGATTCAGAGAGGTCCAACTGCTAAACGCCTCCCGAAATTGCTTGAACCAGGACATGAGCCTTGAGCACAGGCATGATGCTCCAACCCCCGCTGCCATCAACAGCTTCCATAGCAACACTGCCCGGAGCGGAAATTTCATCAGTTTGCCGGAGCAGGAGGGCAGCTTATGGTAGCATAGGTTGGTCATCAAATCGCCCTAAACCCCTAAGCCTCGAACCATGGAACCACATCCCTTTTGCGCTAGTACTGCCTCCTTCAGCCTGGCGGTCTGTGCCTAACCTGTGCTAACCTGTGGAGGATATGGACTCGAACGAGCTGAACGAAGTGAGATCCCGGAGTCCAGTGAGATGAAGACGCGCGGCAAAAGACGGTGACTCTTTGCGTGTTTGTCTTGAAAGGCATGGAAGGCATGAAATATATGTGTTGTGCCTCAGTTGCACATTGTTCTATCCATCCACGGAGTCTGACTGACACTTGGCGCTTCAAATTCAGCCTATCTCAGCCTCAATTGAAGTTCGCTCCTGGTGTGACCGACCCCTGGCCCCAGAAGCGTGTGCAGGGACCTTTGTCCAGCGTTCTACCTTCTACCAGGGGATGCACGTGGCATACAGCAGCCGATGTCGAGCGAGTCCACAAAAAGAGGCAACGCTACAGCCCGCGAAGATGCAAAGTGACTCAGCTGGTAAGTGCTGATTCGCATATGATGTTGTGCCAAGGCCCCCATGGCTCGTTGGAACGTCTTGCTCTGCCTCTTCACTGCCGCTGCACGCAGCCGAGACAGCATGAGAGATGGCCCTAACTTTAATTCAGAGTGATGCGGAGAGAATTGCAGGCTGCCCTCAATGTTGGACATGAGCAACTGCGAAAGGATGGCCCCCAGGCTGCTTGCTTCACCTGCGCAGACTTTTCTAAGTATCGCTTTCTTCCGGCAAGCAACTCCAAGCTACAGTCATCTAAGCTGAAAGGACACCAGCTTTCTGAGCTGGGAGGCCCGCAGCTTGGAGGGCTACAGCATGTTGCAGCCGTGGGCAGACTCGGGTAGACACCTTCGGCAGTCATGGCAGCCCATTCCACATGCTTGTGATTTGTATGTTTCTTGGCAATATGCTCAACGTATGTCTATATGTACGCTGTGTAATAGCTGTTGTTGACAATCTGCATGAGGCTTCCTCAAGCCTGCGCAACCAGCTCTACGTCCTGGCGGGGGTTTGCGCTTGCCTAAGCAACATCAGAACATGGCGCGAGTTCACGAGGCCGAAGCCAAGGGAATCGGGTCGGACGCAGAAGTCTGTTGCAGTGGCTGGGCACAAGGCTGCTTTGCTTTGGCGGGATCTCTGGTCTTCTTCTGGACCTCGACGCCGGGCTCAGACAGGACTTGGCCAGATGCCGCGAAAGCCAGCGTAGCTAATGCCAGTATGGGTGGTAGTCGCCTTTTCGTTCAGTCTCATGAACCTTTGGTACGCTCCCTCGGCTGGAAGATCCTAAACATGCAGCTCTTCTGCCCTGGTCAACGTTTGCTGCAGTGCGGCTGTTTCCAGTGCGGTGTCCTCCCATAAAATTTTCGAATTTTTACAGTAGCGAGTAATCCAAGCATCTCAGCTTCCTGTTGCTCTCCGTTCCTAAGCCCTGAACCCTTTCCACTTCCACAGGAAGGAGGTGGACGAACCAGAAGCCGTCGAAGCTGTCTGCGCACTCAGCATTTGTGAAAACAGACGCATGGCAATGAAATGCTCTCGCCGTGTCAGGAGCCCTGCACCCTGGCCTACACCCTAACAACTAATCAAGATGCTGCCCAAGTCAGAAGCCATGAAGGAAAGTCAAGAGCCATGATTCGGTAACCATCCACTATGCTTGGACAACATGGCTCCATCTACAACATCAGCAGATCAGATGTGGTCAGGATGTTCGTGACAGCCGCAGACATGTTGGACAGGGCTTTGAGAAAACGCACGTGTGCCCTTAAAGTCACCACTGGGGTGCAAGGGTTTCGCTTGGCCTGTCAAACGCTGAACTTGGCACTCGAAGGCGCTCAGCTTGAAGTTCCCGCTCATGAGTAGGGCTCCTTGGGGTGACTCTCGTTCAGCCTATTTAGGTGTTTCAAAGCTGTCCATCACAGGGTGGTCAGGGTGGTGAGATGTGTACGGTTTTCGATAGTGCCCGCGTGCGGTCGGCCAAGGCCGTCCCAGCCAAGATCGAAGAGGCTGCTTTGGGCATAGGGTCGAGGTTCTGACACGAGTTCTTTTGAGGTCTTTTGAGTGAACTCAAGCAGGCGGTCTCCTTCAGTCTGGTAAGTGCTTTGAGCAGGACGCTGGTCCTTCATTGGCAGACTATGAGGACTGCGAGTGCAGGGACAGTGTTGTTGTTGAAAGGCGTTTAGAGGCATCTTCAGTGTGGATTAGCAGAGCCGCCATGCAGTGAGGACCTCGTGAAATCAGTGCTGCAGCGCACGGCCGATCACCTCGGACCAAAGGTGGCCAAGGGCGCGCAGGCCGACTGAGGTGACCACATGAGAAGTCTCTAGATGTCTTCTAGACGTCTTGTGCTACTTGCGAGAGCACTCTGAACCTGCCTAGCACGCCAGCTTAAATGGGAGACATTGCCGGACGTCAGTTCCTTTATGGTTCCATCCGCCGGTGAAGGTGCAGAACATTGTTAACGACAAGGTTGGCTCGCTTGCCGACAAGGCCAAGGTGAGGTCGGCATTGCTTGCAGCCGCCACAGCCGCCTTGTCTTGGTGTCACACGCGGTGGTGCGGCTCTCGCCCTTTTCCAGGCCTTCGTGATGACGGAGCTTACCGACACGGTCGGCTCAGTGGCAACTGCATTGCAGATGGAGGCGACCGGGATCGACCGGGTAGATGCGTCGGCACAGCATCATAATGTGGTAGAGAGTAGGAGAAGAGAGGTAGCGCTGGATACGAAACGTCCAACTTTCGATGGCCGTCGGTTTCTTCACCGCGAAGCCCATTTCTTGTTCGAAAGAAGCACCTCCGCGTTTTGAAATCTGCGCCTGCATCTCGGTGTCTCTGGGTGTAAGTCTCATGGTGCCGGTATCTCCGGTTTCCCCCCTCTCATATATGAAATCCAGCTCCTCAATTCCGCCCTTGGGGTTTCCCCCAAGTCATGAAGTTGCGGGCTGGATTTCTTATTTGAGGGTGGTGGTTCAATTCAAGAAACTGAGGAGCACGAGTCCTTGTTTCAGGGTTGCAGCCCCTGAGTTGATTGTTGCTACAGCCTACGGCACAAACATTCAGGAACTTCGGTCCCCAGGCTGAAGAGAGCCTCGATTTTCAGAGTCATCGTTGCTCTCGCTTAATGCATAGCCTGCCGGCTGAGGCTGCTCGTTTCTTAGTCCAATGATTCTTAAACAGCGTGTCACAGTAGTGTAGTGGAGGTTCGATATGATTCGATATGATTCAGTTGTCCGAACCGTTGCAGGAGTTCATGGTGCTTGCGGATGATGCCTGCTGCCCAGATTGTGGAAGTGAACCACTAAAGGATAGCCTAAGCAACACCACAAATGAGTTATCACACCTATTTGGCTGGCCAAACTCATATCGCTCAGGATGCAGCGGTTGCGGCCAGCTTCCCGCCCCTCTCAGTGCTCTTGGCTGGCCTGCTGGTGCCTGCGGCTCGTCTGCACGATGTTGCCGCCTCCTGCAACCTTGGGTGTGAGTTGGGGCACTGTCAATGCGGCACGCCGGTCTCACGCTCGCTGCAAGGCCAATCTGAGCTTGAACATTACCTGCTGCGAGCTCACATTGAGTTGTCAGCAAATTGAAGTACAGTCCACAAGCCAGTCTCTCGTCACTTGTTCAGCACATCAACTTCATGACAGGACTGTCCTAGGACCAAGCGCTGGAAGCTCATTCAGCAGAAGCACTGCCGGTGCCTTTGGCATGTGAGGCCACTTGCTGCAGATCTTCATCGTCCTCCTCCCAGTTCTGTGTGTGGTGGGCTACTCTGAGTCGAGCCGGCCAGGTTTCCACTCCTAGCCTTCCATGCAAGACATGCGAAACTGATGTGATGCGAGTCGTAGCCGCTGAATGCCTTGCAGCGCAGGTGTTCATGTGACCCAGCGAAGACTACTGGCCCTCAATGTCCCTCAACGACCTATCAAGGATCTGCTGTATGTTGTGCTTGCGGTATGATGCGATAGATCCTGAAAGGTTCTGGAGTCCAATTCTTGCCGGCTTGATGGGTCGTAGCAACTCCCCTTTCAAACCTTTGCGGCCCGCATGTTGTGTCACGGTGAAACGTGTTTGGCCAGGGGGTCCTGTGTGCCACTGTCTGACTGGGCTTTGAATCTTTGAGTTCTGATGAGTGCAGCAGCATAGCATCGCGATGGGACAAGGGCCTTAGGGCCTTGCCTCATGGCTTTGAGGGCCCTGAGGGCTTTGAGGGTTGCATGCAGCGCTTAGGGCCTTCACTGGGGTGTGGTGCTTGGGACTTGAGGATGGTGTAGGCCCGAAGCCCAAAACATTCCGAAGCCAAAAACATGTCACACATTGATAGGCGTGTCTCTGCTAGTGTAGAGGGCAGCCGAGAAGCCAGGTATGCTGACGCGGCCCACCCCTGCAAGTCCATTCCTGGGCTCAGGTGCAGTCGCAGTCTGTAGGGGACTTTCCTAGAGTTGCCAGCAATGTGTTGCCACAACGGTGCTTCAACATGGGACATGATACTCTGGAAGGCTCTGGGCCAGGACTGTCTTGGTGATTGCTGCTCTGGTGACCATCGCTCGTCTCGTGCTGGCGGGGCCGTGGGGGGGGGGGGGGGTTCCGACATGACGTGCGTGATCTCTGCATGTTTGAAGAGTGAGTAGGCTGTGGAAGGCATAATGGCGCAAACCACGCGCACTTTAATCTCGCAAATGGACAGCGTGCCACCGTCTGTACAATTGGCTTTGTAGGCCATCAAGTGCTTGATGGCGAAGGTGGGAGCACATTGAGTCTGGTATAGTCTGGTCAATGCCCCACCCATGCTCGTAGAATGGCAGGCTGCTTGCCGCTGTTCAACCGAGCCTTTGTGTAGTGGATTTTGATTATGTTGAAGAATCAGCGGTGCCTTCGCTTTGTCAGTCCGCCATTCGCCGCAAGAACGAGGAGATGAAGGAGCAGCTCGCAAAGGCTCGCGGAACGATGCAGTACGATCATCTGGAGGGATATGTCCGGTGGTGAGCTGCGGTTCATGGATTAGTAAGGCTTGCGCCCGAAAAAGACCATCGAAGACTCTCAAAGCGCATTGTTGGCGAGTGAGAGATGCCTAAAAAACTGAGAGGAGCAGTGGAAGACATGTGGATCGGACAGCGCTTTTGAGATTAAGAACGGCTTACAAATGCCTGTCGAACCTGGAGACACAAGTGCAATATCTACAATAATTACATGCTTCCATGAGAAGACCTCCGCACCTCATTCGTCGGATGTTAACTAAGCCGAAGCTGTCAGAGGCCACGGGAAGTGGCAGCTCCACAGGGTGCCTCGGGCGCGAAGGAGTCAGGTAGAGCTGTGTTGGGGATGCCAGTTTTCACGTGGGCAAGCAATGTGCGCAGCAGCAAGCAATGTGCAAGCCAGTGTGACGGCAAGTTTGATCCGTGAATATTTCTGACTGACCCTTGATCATGTCGGACAGGGTAGGCTTAGAGACTTAGACTTCGAGATCCCTCAATCGTGAGCCCCAGGATCGAAGAGCTGAAGCAGCTCTTCCTTTGTCGAGCTCCGAGAGAGTTTTTTGCTTGCTTCCACTAACACTAGTTGTGCCAACCCCAACAGTTGCAGAGATGTGCGCATCGAGTTCTTCCGGATAAGATGTGGGGTCTGAATGTGTTTCCGAGATCCTGCCTGCTGAGTCTACGCCACTACACTGCAACATGCCGTGGTCTGCGAGGGCAAGCCGCGCTCCCGGATGTCGATGTAGAGCCTTAGATGTGCATAGGCGCTACTGACCTGCCTATCATGGATCACTGTAGTTACTTTACCTGAGGGCCTCGAGGGTTTGGACTCTAGGAGCGTCGCGACCTCCTACACATCTTCCCGCATTCCGATTTTTTCAGCCGTCGACCCCCGCAGGAAAGCATGGTGAAACGGTTTCGTTCAGACGGGTGGTGAGTCAGCACTCACTACGAGTTTACACCAGTTTTCTTGCAAAGACACGCAACTTCTCCGGGAATCTATCTTCCTTGCCTTGACCTTTGCAGTACACGTGTGGGCTTCTTCTCGCACATTGTGGGCTTCGGCACCCTTCTGCTGGGAGCCCAGACGGTCGCTGGCAACAGCGTGAATGGAAGGCTAGCTGCAGCATCTGTCTTGCATGTTGCCGAGCCAATGCTGCGGCTCCTGACGCTCCAGCATGCTTCGCAGGGGGACAGCATGCTGTAGTACAGCTGTGCCATTTCCTGCAAGATGCCGTCGGAGTCTACAGAGCTTTAGTTAACTTATGTGTCTCTGTATCAAGTTACCTGCATCATCGGCAAGAACGATCACAAGATGTCACAAATGACTTCTTAGTATTCTCTGCACTTTCCTTCTAGAATCATGCCCTTAGTATGATCTGCCTCTCGCTGGCGACGTTTCTCGCGTTTGGCGGGGCTGTTCTCGCAATCTCCTCTTTCTTCCACACGGCATCGACATGCTTACGTGGAGAAGAACAAGCTACCTGACCACCTGGTGCAGAAATCGATGAGATCCTGACTCAAAACGAGTCTCTCCATGCTGTAGACTGTCGTGCACTGCCAGCAAGTCCTTTGCCCAGGTGGCTGTTGACGACGTTCTTCAACACTTACCTCTACTTTGCGTACATGTTTGTCAGGACCTTGTATGTGAAGGTCTATGCAAGCGCTGAATGCATTTAGCAGCTGACAACGTTTTTTGCATGCTTCTGTACAGTTATCGATATGCAGTGCCAGATCTGAACATTCGTGCGGTGGCACTCCAAGCCTCTTGCCGCGAGATTGTTCTCGCCAAGGTCCCGGGAGTCGTCGCATTCCACGAATCTGCCGCAGTGCTAGCCTTATTGCCCTGAATTGAACATAAGAGACATGCATGGTGCACGTGTGCACAGCGGCAGAAGAAAGTGTTTGACAGCAGGGCATATCCAGCTGTGACACGTCACCAAAGATGATGACCTCTCAGGACGAGCCCAGCTACTGTGCTGCCTGGGTCACGGTCTGTGCTGCGAAGGTCTCCGTTCTGCTGGCGGGGGCCCTCAGGGCATTCGGTACTGCAGAACTCGGGAATGCAGAAGCATTCTGACCAGATGCAATCAATTTCCCTGCAATGAGGCCGTCCTCTTCTTCTTCGTGAACGTGATTTGGCAGCATGCTGGAAGTGGATGCAGGGGCCAACCAAACTGTCCAATTTGCATACGGGCACTTAGCTGCTTGGGCATCTCAGCGAGCGGAGAATCCACGAGACCGCTGAACTGCGAAGGTGATGACTGTCTTCTGCTGGGCCTCCGAGACCGTGTTGAGACTTGGCCTCAGAGGCACTATATGACTGTATGGCACTATTCTCAGCACTCGCCTCGACAGGTCATCTGAAGGTGAGGATGCCGGTTGTGGAAGTGTGGCAAGTGGTGTTCAGCGTTCTCCACTCCTGAGTTCTGCTTAGGCATGGAAAGTGTGTCCTCCAAGATCATTGCCAAGGCGAAGGTCGGTTCCAGTTTTAAGGGTGGATGCGGGCAGTGAGGAGCTCCTTAGCCCTTCGAAGAACAGCACTACCGTGAGCCTTCCTCTTCAATGAAAACCCATCTCAATCTGTCTGGGTCCCGCCCGAGCCAGGCTTTTGACAACGTGGGCCTTGGCCTCCCACTGGCGCAGCTGTTAGTGAAGGCGTGGAGCACCCCGTACAGCCAGTGGGCCCTGTTTGGACGCACTTTCGGCGTTGCCAGTGACCTGACTTGAAAGGGTCACTGCCACAAAGCAGAAGTCGGCCCCGTGAACATGCCGCTTTTGCCCACAAGAATTCAACGGTTACGGGAGGTGCTGCTCTTCCGCGGATCTACGGACATCCTCTGTGCCCGCCTGGCCGGGCCCCGAAAGCAGACCGCTACTTCCCGGGTTGCCCTAAGAACCAAGGAAACACAAGATGTGAGTATACGCCTTGTTGTCTGATTTGATATCCCCATATATGTGTCTACATACATATATATGCTCCGCCTACCCGCCCTACGACAGACGTCGAAACCAGTTTTCTACCAGAGTCTGTCGTAGGGCAGGGTGCAGCAGTTTGCAGCTGTGCAATTATGGAGTATACTTCCAAAAGCATTGGAAGCCACGTTCGGTTGTATTTAGGAGTTAACTCTCATTCTTGAATACACCCCATGAAGGCCGGGAACATTGGAAGAAACAAAGGGGAGCTTTGCATTTTCCGTATTTGATGCCGGCTCATCGTAGAGGTAGTTTATATAATGCATACAGCTGACTGCCACTGATGTTAACGAAATTGGTGAGGTTACGTTGCCTTTAACCTGGGGGGGGATGAATGTGATTTAAAGTATTGTTCTTTACACGCAATTGGTAATTTGGCGGCTTGTAACCTCAAACGTATGTAGAACAGACCAGGTTTACCAAACAGACACTAGTTCTTATTTCCCCTAAGCAATGTAAACATTTGAATTGGGTTGGTTAAAGTCATACTGCTGCGTGAATGGCCGGGAATATTCGAAGAGGGAAGAAGGACAGCTACTTGACAGCCGATGCGCCAACAAAAGTAACGATTACAATCGAGGCTTCTTTTTGTTTGTAGTCACGGTAGGGTTAGTTTCACACTTTCAGTAGCGATTCTCATAGAACAGACCTTATAGGATCATATGCTCATTAATCAGGCACGAGTTCCTCAAATTGTTAACATTTGATTTGGGAACCCCCGCCCCAAGTTACAAATGCAAATTATTCGGGTAGATTGATTAAATTCTTGGAGGTCAAGTATCATTTTAAGGTCATACTGCTTGAGTTTGAGTGACCACGAATATTGGAAGAGAATGAAGGACAGCTACCGGGGGATCGATGCGCCAACAAAAGTAGCGATCCAATGTGGGCTAGTTGTTTGTGTGCAGCCCTAAGTTATTCTTCTTGAATAACTACTATATCCGGGCCAGGAACTTTTTATAGGGCTAGGTATATTCATTGAAACACGATAGCAACGATAAACATATGTCGTCGAGCACCAAGCTCAATTGGTCATCGGTTGTCCCAGCAGCAGTCCTTCATGCTCTGCAACATTCCTGGGTATGTTCAAAATAGCATTTGTTTTCTTCAAGGGACATAGCTGGCGTCCAATCTGTGGTTCAAATTAGATAGATTATCCGCATTTTTTTGCCTTGGGCGGGGGAGGGTTGTGTAAGTGCTGTACATGCAAATGACGGAGATAACGTGTTGGGTTAAAAGCAGGGCCATTTGTTGAATGCTGGTGCAAATGCCTACAGCTAGCACATAATTCCAAAAAGCAGCCTGATTGCCATCATCAAACGGAGTTAACAGTTGATGAGCTTTTGATTTGCATGATTTGAAACCATGTATTCGAAATACATACTTAGCAGTCGCTTTTCCATAGCGACTGGCCTCGTCCACCTTCACAATATTTTAATTTGTTTCATGAATAAAACTTACAGAATTTTAAATTTGATCTCGTCCACCTTCACAATATTTTAATTTGTTTCATGAATAAAACTTACAGAATTTTAAATTTGATCTTGCGAGTTCACCCCAAGTTCAAACTGTAAATAGCCTCACATTGGAGGTCAGCTAGTTCAATTACTAACACGGTTTTCCAGTCGGTTTGTCTCAAGTGCAAATCTCAAGTCAACTGATCTCAGATCTCCATGGCCTTGAAACACATGAGTAAAACGGTACATCAGCCCCAACCTCTAAATTTCACGCCTAAATGGCGACTTTTCCTACGCCTCTGAACACTGGATGTGCTTGTTGGGGAAAGGGGTGAAAGCAGGGGCTGCAAAACTGTGCGAAACTATTTCGGGTCGAGATAGTGGTTTTGCTTGTTCAGTAATGGCAGCTGTCTGCTCAGCAGGGGTCCCGAAACCCAAAAGTCCAAACTTCAAGCGATGCCTCCGAACTAGTTCTTCTTTATTTTGTTTTTGATTTTCATTTTTGCTTGGTTTGTTTTTGGTTTTGGTTGGAATTCCCGAGGGAGAACCACCTGAGCCCCAAAACACTGCAAGAACATCTCGAGTGCAAAAAAGAAAAACAGCAACAAAAGCTGAGATTCTCCCTGGATTTGAGTTTCGGTTTTTGGCTTTCGGGCTGCTGGCAAACCCTGTTTTTCATTTTTCCTCACGTTTTTGGTTGAATTTCCGGAGGCAAACCACGCGAAACCAGAAAGATGCAAAAAACAACTCGAGGAAAATGGCAACAAGCGAACCAAAACACAGAACGAACAAAAAACAAAAGGACCACAATACCCGAAACGGTTTCTGACATTTTTGTTTGGGTTTTGGGGCTGCTGACCCGGAGAGATCGCCATCCCTCCAGGAATCGTCGGTTTTGGGCTTTACTCGCTTTTTCCAGCATTCAGAGAAGTGTCTGTCATATACGGGGAGTGTAGATGTATCTGAGCGCACATAAATAGAGCACACATACACGCACACACACACACACGCACGTGCATATACATACATATATATATATATGAGCCTGAGACCTTTAGGGTTCTTTTGGCTTAGTTTTTACAGAGCCCTTTAAACAAACAAAGCCAAATCCATAAATATAATAATATATATGCTATTAAACGAACGCGTCCATCGCATGTCTCCACCTGTCTGTCTGAGCTCATGCTTCGGGCAAACTGTACATTGCAAAAACGAACTGCACGGTTGACGTTTTAACCTTTAAGGTTTAGGGTTTAGGGTTTAGGTTTAAGGTTTAGGCTTTAAGGTTTATGGTCTAGGGTGTAGGGTTTAGGTTTTAGGATTTCGAGTTTAAGCTTTTGGTAGAGGTTTAGGGTTTGTGGTTAAGGATTCGGTTTAAGTCGCTACTCATCTGCACCTGGCCAGTTAGGGTTCCAAAAAGACCTTGTTCACTAAACCGTAAGCCATACACTCTAAACGACAAACTTTAAACCCTAAACCTTGAACTCTAAGCTCTAAACCTTAAACCCACAGGGGCCTTACTTTACTAAACAAACGCTTCGCGTAGATGAAGATAAAGATAAAGAGACTAAGCTCGAGCTCGCAGCTGCTCATACATCTCCGCATGTCCAACATTCCTCATCAATTTTTACTCCTTAGATTTTAAGCCTTACACCCTCAACTTTAAATTCTTAGCTCTGAATCCAAAGTTGAAACATTTAACCATTTACCTTGAAAGACTTTGAGCCTGAACTCTAACACCTTAAGCTCTTATATATAAACCGTAACCCTGAAGGTCCTGATCCTAATAACAAATGCGTTCCAGCTTCTTTGCTCAGAGCTGTGCTTGGAAAACTGACATGCTGCGAGTCTCGGCAGCATAAATCATCTGCTCGATCTGTTATGTGAAACGCTCACTCCACATCTTCTCCAAGCCATTCACGGCGTAGCTCGGAATCGCGCCATTGATTAACCTAAAGTGTGAAGGGCTTCTTGGCTTTGAGAAACAAGGATACGATTTTTTCAGGTTTTTTAACTCTTATAGTTTAAGATGTAAGTTCAGGGTTTAAGGTTTAGGGTTTAAAGTTTAGGGTGTAGGGTTTAAGGTTTAGGGAACGGGCCGCGCGCCGCTTCCAGCCCTTCTATCAAGCCATCGTCTTGGCCCTGGTGGACGGTTTCATTGGGTTTAGGATTAAGGGTTTAGCGGTTTAGGATTGAGAGTCGAGAGTTTAAGCTTTCGAGTGTAGGGCTGCCATAATACAAGACATCGGCTTGATTTCAAGAAGCTTTTTCAAATGTAATGTTTGTGATCTAGGTTTTAATACATAGGTTACTAGAGGAATGCTTTTTAAAAAATTTACTTGCGGAAGTCGAGGTCGTCAGCCTTTTTTTTTTAGGCGCTCAGCAAAATTAACGCTTTTAGGGTTCCTTGGCTGTCATAAATAACGAGGCGATTGCCTTCAGGTTTTATGACTCTTATAATCTAAGATTTAGGTTCGGGGTTTAAGGTCTAGGGTTTAGAGTTTAGGGTTTAGAGTTTATGGTTTAAGATTAAGGGTTTAGGGTTTAGGGTTTAGGGTTAAGGGTTTAAGATTTAGGTTTAGAGTGTAGTGTTTAAGGTTTCAGGTGTAGGGTTCAGAGTTTAAGGTCTAGGGTTTAATGTTTAGGGCACGGGCCGCGGGCCTCTTCCTCTGCTTCTAGCCCTTCCATCAAGCCGTCGTCTTGGCCCTGGTGGACGGTTTCATTGGGTTTAGGATTAAGGGTCTAGCGTCTACGGTTTATGGTTGGATATTTAAAGTTTACGGTTTAATTAATCTGTTTTATAAGTTTAAACCTCTAACATCTGGGTCTGAGCCTAAACGTTAAATAGTTTTACGTGCTCGATTCACTGCGCGGGCCGCGCGCCTCGCTTTCATCTCCTTCCAGCTCTTGCTTCAAGTCCTCGACTTCGACCTGGTGAATGGTTTCACTGGGTCTAGATTAAGGGTGTAGCGTTTACTGTTTATGGTTTGATGTGTAAGGTTTACGATTGAAAGTTAAGAGTTTTACGGTGAGAGTTTAAGCTTTCGAGTGTAGGGCTGCCATAATACAAGACATCGGCTTGATTTAAAGAAGCTTTTTCAAATGTAATGGTTGTGGTTCAGGTTTTAGTACATAATTTACTACAGAAATGCTTTTCTAACAATGTACTTGCGGAAGTCGAGGTCGTCAGCCTTTTTGTTTTAGGCGCTCGGCAAAATTAACGCTTTCAGGGTTTCTTGGCTTCAAAAAAATAAGGAGGCGATTTCCTTCAGGTTTTATGGCTTTTAAAGTTTAAGATTCACGTTCAGTGTTTAAGGTCTAGGGTTTAGGGTTTAAGGTTTAAAGTTTAGGGTTTAAAGTTTAGGGTTTAAGGTTTAGGGTTTAAGGTTTAGGGTTTAGGATTTATGGTTTAGGGCACAG